CGTCGTGATTTATTTTCTACTCTACGTGACTTTACCGAAAGAACCAAAGAGTATGGATTCCTCCATTCACGAAGGCTTCAAATCAAGACTGAAGGTAAACTTAAGCAATCGGACACCTAAACTTTGGTGCACAAGTTTTAATTGCATTTTATAAAAGCATTTAAACAAATGTCCATTATTGCACTGGACAAACCCTTAAAGAAAAAATAAAAGATTAAATTAATAACATTGTTACAGATTTTAAATGACAACACGAGAAAAAAACAAGACGTCTTCACGTGGTAACTGGACACCCCCGCAGCTACCTCCCAAATGCGGCAAGTGTCATTCACGGTTCCCGTAATTTGTGGCCGGAATTCCGAGTCCGCTAGGCGAGATTGGCGCGCTCGGTGAACTGACGATCGACGGCCTGCGACAACGCCTCCAGGAAGCATGACAGTGTAGTGGATTCCTGCAGGGACAATCGAGTTGTTTTCAAGACATGTCAAGTGTTTCAGCGTTTTAACCCCTTCAAACTGCAGTGCGCCCTCAAAATACCAGGCCAGTTTGCATGGTGGGTTGCCCCCTTTTCTACTGGATTTTTCTCCGAGTCCACCAGTTTTAATACTCTCCGCATTTAGAAACACGCGCTTAGAGTATTCGCCTGCCGTAAAATTTCCACGTGATGACGAGCCACTTGGTTGGGCTACCATTTGTGGCCAGGTCGCTCATGAAAAAGAGCCGAGAGCTCGGTGGGCTTTACCTGGTAAAATAAATAAAAGTTGTATTGTTTCTGAACAAAATTGACACTTTACATTGACACTATTTACAAAACCAAAGTCACCGAATTATTGCTTAGATGAGCATTGAGGTGGTGCTCATCACCTGAGGCAGTGGCGGAAATTCCTCTGGCGGGGGGGAGGGGCGGGATACAAGTCTATCCATCATAGGACGACCACATCCCTAGAAAGTGTCATTCACCCCAATTACACTGCTTGTCGCGTTTTTAGATTCTTTTTGCATCGTATAAATGCAATGAAGGTAAAAAAACAAAAAAAATTCCTGAAATCACAAGCGAAAACTTCAATGTGCAATCCTGTCCAGTATCAAACTGAGCTTCGCAATTACGACTTTCATCTCCCGAATATGTCCCACGAAACCTATTGTGCACGAGACGGTGCATCTGCCCGCGTTATTCTGAGGACACGCCGTATGAAACGTGCCCGTTGGCGCGAGCCATAGCCAAGGGCGTGTGATCTGTGTGTGTGAAATTAGCGCAGAAGATGTGCGATCAAGCTCCGAACCTTAACGTAGAGCGCGTGGGCGATGAAGGGGAGTTTCCGCAGGACCCTTCCACTCAGGCCCTCGCTCTTTCTTCATTTTGCCGTTTGACGAAGGAAAATAAAAAACAACGCAAACAGTTTCATCACAGCGACATGGACTTTTCATTACATGTCTCTTTCCGTATTGAGACACCCTCCCCCTATCACGATCATCAGAACTGATTAATCGACGCATCGTTACATGCCTAATCAACGGACTTCAGTTCATCTAAAAGAACCTCATAGCTGCGTGGTGGTGGTAGCGTGTTTAACGCGTACTGCAGAGGATCGTGTTTTGAGCCCAGCGGCCGTTCTGCTCATTACTGCCCGTCTATTAGCAAAAGATACGTAGCTGTCTTTCACAATCTGTTAGACATCGCGTGATGTCATTTTTAAAAAGAATAGGCCTTGTATACTGGGGTAATGGTCCAAATGTGCGAAATTTTACCTTATTTCGCCAAACGTCCGAATTAGGAACAACGGCAAAATAAAATTGCTTCCTACTGAAAGACTAATGTGTATTTACAGGCCAGTCCTGCGTACATCTTGTGCTACACAGGGCCAGCTGTCACTGCGGGGTGGGGCCTTGGTTACACTGTGTGTCCTATGCATTCTAGATTTGAAGCTTTCGTGACTGCAAGGATTCATACTCTAAGTTCTTTCGGTAAAGTCACGTAGGTAAAAAATTAAATTAATTAAAAATAAAAAAAGTAAAATCACGACGTTTCGGAGGCAACACAAGCTTCCGTCAGTTTCACCTGAAGACGGAAGCTTGTGTTGCCTCCGAACGTCGTGATTTTATTGTTTTTATTTTTAATTAATTTTTATTTCATTTTTTACCTACGTAACTTTACCGAAAGAACTAAGAGTATGTCCTATGCATGCTTAGCCACCCCCAAATTGAGGACTTGGGAGGAGGTGCGAGCTGAACTCACTTAGCGATGGTGTGGAGGTACAGGCTGGGCTGCGACATGTCTGTTTCGGCAAATTTCATCATCTCCAGCTGCCGGAAGCTCAGCAGTTGGTGTGTACGGATGATGCCCTTCTGCACTCTCACACATGATCAAGCCTCGATCCGGTCAGCTTATTCATCGACAGTCAACTCTCGATTATTCGAGGCAACAGCAGACATCCGCTCATTTTGTGTCCATCGCACCCAGGTTATGTCGCTGACAAGCGCGTGTGGGTGGCGGCACATGTCCACGCAAGGTGAGTAATGGGGCTTGAATCATCAGCCGTGGCTCCTCCAGCAAACGACACTGCAGAAGATGGGCGAAGCATCGTCTGCATCGTCTGCTCTTTAGCGCAGATGCAGGTCGTGTTCTGGGCTTGGTCAAGATGGCTGCCACGTTACCGAGATGTGCTTTGTAGCAGCCGACACCCGCACGGAAGCGGTTCAGGCATCGCCAGATTTCCGTGGTCCTTCTGACCCCGATGGAAGAGTCTCCGCTAATCGCAGTTTCATCTGAGCAACTGCTGATGATGCTTGCGGGCGTGCAAGGTAACGGCATTGAACTTAAATTACTCTACTGCACTGATGAGTCCTAATGGGGACAAAACCAATTTTCAGTTCTGTATCACTGCTGCTTGAGACGGCCACACTTTCAACTCTTTCTGTGTTAGTGGTCTAAATAATAACCACGTTCTCGGCCATCTTTTCAGTTGGTGGTCAAGACATGGCCAAGAGCATTGTACGTGCAATGTGATGGTCACATGACATGTATGCATGACATGTATGCATGGCATGATGGGAGTCGTGCTTTCTTGCTAGGCTGACCAACAATAGCAATATGTACATATTCAGTAGAACCATCAAGCAAAGAGAAATCAGAACACAAACCCGCGTGAATATCAACCGACGTTAAAGAAAATGCATCTCCTGTAACGGAAGTTTTTTTTTCAGACAACTTTCAAAAAAAGCTTTCCATCGGACAATTCAGTTGCGGAAGCATTAAGCAGATTTAGGGTGACGATTGCACTCGGGTGCACGATGCTGGCTGCTCGTACCTTCATGAGCTCCACGAGGCAAGACAGGAAGATCTGGTAGATGGCCAAGACCGAGGGGGGCCCGATGTACTGCTTGATGTCGGCACGATCGACGAAGGCTGCGTCGATTTTCCCCGTGATGTTTGACGTTGTCAGGATGATCACATTGGAGTACCTAGCCGCACACAAAAGGCAAAAGATCCCTCGTGTAGCGTGTAGCCTCCACAATTTTTGGGGCAAGTACGGTGAGCACGCACCTATTAAGGCTGGCACGGCACACTCTGGCATACACACAAACTTAGACGATAAAATACAACCAAGACAAAAATCCCCCGTATAGCCTACACAGGCTGTTGGGTCAAGTGCATGCACTTAGACACACACCGAGACAGGCACATCCAAAGACGCACTTATGCTGCTGCTGTTCATCGTGAAAATTATGCTGCTGCTGCTATTGTTGCCAATATTGGTGATGTTGATGTTGCTAATTGCACTGATAATGATGCTGCTGCTGATGACGATTCTAAAGAACCAGAGAGTGATTCTAAAGAAGCCGAAAGAACCAGAGTGATTCTAAAGAAGCCATTTTCACTGTTGACTGTTCCCAGTGTGTGTACCGCTCGATTCTGTCTCACCGCTTGATCTGGTCGATCTGGGTGAGGAGCGCGTTCACCACGCGGATTGCGTCCGACGGCTCCGTTCCCGAGTGCGACGCGGAGCGCGACGCCGTCAAGCTCTCCACCTTCAGCGCAAACGCAGCGGGAAAGTTCGTTTGGGGGACTGAGAGTGCCTCTGGCACAGGGGTTCGGCAACACGCGGCGGCTCCGTAAGGACTGCTTCGTGACGTTAGTTATCAAGGACCACCGTCTCGTGTCCACGTGGCGAGTAACTTGGTCTGCGAGTGTTTTGCAAGACGAGCAACATTTTTTGATTAATTTTAACTTGATAAACGAGCGAGGTCTTGCAATACGAGTTGTACGTATACGTTTTGTCTGGCCAGCGTCACGTGATCACAACTGGGCCGATGGTTATTCTCTCTCTCGCTGCGGGATTGTGGGTAATCGTCTCCCATGCTCGGTCTCAGTCGGCGTGCCTCACTCGTATAGTCAACATCCGTGCGAGCGTAGACTGTTTACTGTAGTGTTGTGACCACGTGTGTGTGTGCGTAGAAGCATTTTTGTTATTTTGTGTCCAAGTGTAGTGACTGTTCTTTAGTAACTGTACTGCAACAATGGCCCCCTCCTCCTCTCTCTCGTCTCCCTCACACCAGCCACGATTAAATGTAATTAATACATTTGATTACTTTATATAAAATTTCAATAATAAAAATATAAAAAAGTTATTTTGTATTAATCATTTTTACATGAATATTTTTGGGTTGTGGAACTAATCGTCTGAGTTTCCATGATTTCCTAAGGGGAAATTCGCTTTGATATACGAGTGCTTTGGATTACAAGCACGTTTCCGGAACGAATTATGCTCGCAATCCAAGGTTTTACTGTATTGAGTTTATTACAAAATTCGAAAGAAATTGCTCTTCTTGTTACTTTGGTTGCCAACCCCTGCTTGAGTGGCTGTGGGGTTGACACGAACCCATAACACATTTAAAAAAAAAAGATCAATTCTGCCACGAGCTATTCGTGATGTTAAGAGGGGCAGTAATCGAGATGGCCGGAGTTTGCTTCATCTCGTGAATCTGCAATCCTCGTCAACAGCTCTCTCATCTCCATCTCCCATGTTTATCCTTCTCGTGACACTGCATCTCTTTTAGCTACGAAGCCCCCACTCTCTGGAACTCCTTTCCCTGGTCAACTCTGCCTGGTCTTCTCTCTCCGCTTTCAAGTCTCCTGTAAAAACCTCCCATTTCAACCTTGTGCCTTCGGAACCCCTTTGTGGCTTCTTTTCTTTCCTTCCCTTGCTCGGTCCCTCCCGTTCCACCCTTTTTACTTGTGCTTTGTAGACGTTTCATTATACGTGTAAGAACCAGAATATTATACTGAAGGAATCCGATGAGCTATGAAGCTCTTTTTTCACAGATATCCAGTCGGGGCAAGTCAGAACGTTCAAACAACAAACAATACAAGAACACGACAGGAGTGCCGAGTACAGAAAATGTAAAAAAAATCACTTAAAGATATACAAATCAAACGAAACTATTTTGTATCTTACCAGCTAAAGCCCACTGAAGTATTAACTTAATTTTCAGAAGCGACCTGGCCACAAATGACGGCTCAACCAAGTGGCTTATCACGTGGACATTTATAGCAGCAAAATAATCTGACCACACGCAAATTGTTTATTTCTATAAACCATACCTTTTGGTGTGCCATAGCCTAGTGGGCCACTCAAAGAGCCTTTGAGGCCCACAACTGGTGGTCAGCAGGCCACGAGTTGAAGAACCCTATTGCAGTTGATGTGCAATTGAATTGGGAGCCAACAGAGGCATCTGGGGATCGGGGTGACGTGATCTTGTCCATAAGCAAGTTAAATTTCGATTTAAAGCTTTCGTGACTGCAGGGATTCATCTTCTTGGTTCTTTCGGTAAAGTCACGTAGAAGGGAAATAATAAAATAATAAAAATAAAACCTAATAAAATAATTCTCACGACGTTTCAGCCACAACGCAAGCAGCCGTCCTCAGGTGAAGAACAGGTCTGTCGGAAAGACAGCGTCTCAATGACGCTGAAGAACAGGTCTGTCGGAAAGACAGCGTCAGACGCTGAAGGAATCCGATGAGCTAAACGTCGTGAGAATTATTTTATTATGTTTTATTTTTATTATTTTATTATTTCCCTTCTACGTGACTTTACCGAAAGAACCAAGAAGACATAAGCAAGTTGCTACTGCAGCATAAATGTATCCTGTACTGCCAACAAACCTCATCAATGAGCACGCAGACAAGGGCCTCCTGGTCGTCGATGCTCTCCTGGATCTTCTGAAACATCTTCATCACCAACTTGCCACTCTGCGAAACGGCAACGCAGCAGTAACACACAATTACTCGCCCGCTAACGGTTAAAGACACACACAGGTGTTTACATTTTCAACCGAAGTTGTCTGTGACAGTGAGGCACCAACTCTTGCAAAGGTGATCCAATATGAACAAAGCTTGAGGATAAATTGCGTTGCTGCAAAGGACGTACCCAAGATAAAACTGGCCAAATGGATTGTGCGGTTCAAAACTTGGAGACAAAGAGCCAGCGTTAAAAGCGTTAACCCAACACTAAAAATAAGCGAGGGTCTGCCCTCTTCTGCCAATGACATTACTACATGTGATGCCACCTCGCAGCATTTTACTAGAAGAAGAATACAGGGATGAGGAGAGACGTCCCAAAAAACAATTCATCGTGCAACAGGCGATGAGACACTCACCTCCGAGAACCATTTAGAGAAGAGGCTGTGGCTGTTAATCTCAATCAGCTGCCCGTATCGATACCTGGAGGACAAAGCAGGGAATTAAAAGTGATTTATACACTCGCAACACATAAAACAAAGTTTAACACGTAGGCTTTCATGACCAATATTATTCATAATCAACGTTTTTGGGTTTAGATCGCGTTATTTATAAATGTGTCGTAACCCTCCACCACCCAACACGGCCAATCAGTAAAAAAGTGTAAATGTTGTGGTTTCACGCTTCAACACACCGGTGGGCTAAAGCAGTGAACTATTTGTCTTTTGTCAACGTGACACTTTTTTACTGATTGGCCGTGTCGGGTGGTGGAGGGTTACGACACATTTATAAATAACGCAATCTAAACCCAAAAACGTTGATTATGAACATGCAACAAAGCTTGCTAACGTTCAGAACAAATGAAACAATAAATAAGACGCAATGATATGTAGTGAGCGAGACAATGTGTAGTAACGAGACAAATCAAAACACGACAGGCGAGCTCGGTAGAATGAGATGTAACGAAGGAGACGGTAACAAATACAAATTACAGACGAGACAGTACAAATCAGCCAAAAAAAACCAATGCGATAATTGGATAAAGTTGCATCAAAAACAATTTACAGCTCTTTTCAATCCACTGCTAAACGAAGGCCACTTGTGCCCGCCACGTTGCTCGTAGTGGCGTCACCAGACGTGACCACGCTCGTCAGTACGTGTTGGCAAAACATTACATAGTGACCCTTAATTGTGGGATCCATCCAAGTGTTGGGGGTGGAAGTGAATCACTGTTCATCTATGAACGTAGGTATGGTTGAACTTCTCACGCACGGTACATAGCCACCCGTGCTAAGCGGAGGTGCGGGATAAGGATGACATAAAACAGATGCTCAGGTGAGATTAAGGGCGCGGCCTTATGGGAGAATCTTACCTTTTCGACAGCCTTATACAGAGCTTCTGTGCCAGGGCTTTACACAGGGACGTCTTTCCCGTGCCCGGAGGTCCTGTAACAGCACAAGACGGGGAAAATCATTTTGCATCAAGTCCTCGCTCCTATTTACTATTTTTCACTATCACATCGCCAACGAATTAGGGCACGCAATTTAATTTAAAATGCCTCCATTTACCACAAAGCTGTCTTGAAAATTTGAAAAGAAAGAACGCAATAGCTGGGGCTGTATACGTTACGACGCGCGACGCCATGGCGCCCCTGGGCGGGTGATCACGCCTCAGTGTCTACAACTGCTTGGCACTGTAACTAAACTCCCCTTCACTCTACACCAGGCCTCTAAATGCAATCTCAGCCACCATCTCTGGTGAGTACTCTGTATTAACGTATATTATTAATTTAAACATTTGGGGTATCATCTTTGGTTATGTTTTTGCAAATTTTTCTGAAATTTTGACCAAAAAAGATAACCCCAAGGAATGTATCCTTAACTTACTTAATTAAGTCAGTGGTGAAATAGGTTTCGATTTAGGTTGTTTCGCCTAAAGTCGGATTTTTCAGGGACGCATCCTTAAGGTAAATAGCGGACTTAGCGTAGATGAAACGGACAGACAAGAAAACAAGATGTGTGACCTATCAGATCTCAGCATTAACAGCTTTGATCAGTTTCAAAGGTAAACATTTAAAGCTACGGCCGAGAATGCTCGAGTAATAATATTGGGGCATCACACCGCTTTCCTGCATCGGGGGCACACAATTCCATGCCCGATCCTGATTTTAAAAAGACAAGGCTTGAATTCTGTAATGCTTTCCATAATCTGTCTGTCCCAGGAAGTATTTAATCGGTTATAACGTTACATTACAAACCGACGTCATAGGTAATTAGCAATAGCAACGTAACTTTATACTCAAATGTCGTTTATATTGGATCGTTACGAAAGCTATGCTGACCCTCCCCCCCCCATTACAGACAGACGGACAGAGCTAATGAATTAACGCTTTCAACGTTGGTTAGAAAAAAAACTAATCCCAAAAACGAACCGTGCAGGAGGACCACGCGATTCCAGGAGATGACGTTGCTGTTCACGTTCTTGTCCGAGAACAGCAGTGTCGTCATCACGTAATTGAGCAGCTGTGACGAAAGGGCAAGTTGTGGTTTAACAATCACTTTTTTCATAACTGTTTAAAAAAAGAAGACTCTCTGCAATTTTGTGTCAAGGGTGCAACGTTCGCTCACCTGCAGTTTAATCTCGGAATCGTAGACCAGACTTTCCCAAAGTCCATGGAATTCGGCTACACAACAAAAACACGTGACGTGAACCCACCTGCCTGGTACATGTACAAGCACATCCTTGATTTGGAGCTTTCGTGACTGCAGGAATTACGTTTTGGTTCACCATTGGAACCTTATGGCTGCAGGTATTGTGGTCTATGCAAACATGACTCCTTGTAAAAAAGGTGTCAATTTTGTTGCCAGATAGAAGGGTAGAAAACCAATTATATTTTTTACTGGAAAATTAGGTTCCAATGGTGTAAATTCTTACCCCGAGCTCTCATACTCTGATGGTGCATTGTCTTTGAGTTGTGCGCCTTTTGGCGTCATCTGGTCAAACCCATGTGAGACTAGGCTCTAAGGAAAGCTGTCTCGGGTGTGGACCAATCAACTTCAAGGACAGTGCATACATTATCAGAGTTGTGTTTTTTGTTTGCATTATGACTGCAGGTATTGTGGTCTATGCAAACATGACTCCTTGTAAAAAAGGTGTCAGTTTTGTTGCCAGATAGAAGGGTAAAAAAACAATGATCATACTTTTTGGTTCTTTCTACGTGACTTTACCGAAAGAACCAAAAAGTAAGCACATCCTTCTTGGCAAAATCCACTGCTGGTCAATGTTGGATTATCGTCAGGTTTACATGTTAGTGCAATAACCCCATGGCTAGTGTTGAGGTGTGGATGTTAACCTTACAGTGTAAAGGTTAGTGTCTGGGCTAGTGTCACTGTGCTAGGGTCAGGGCTGTGTACTTGAAGGCAGGATCCAGTGGTGGGCTGCAGGGAGATTCTCGTCACCCTGGTTCAGCTCCTCCATGGATGGCCCCTCGTCATTCAGCTGGATCACGTGCACCTCCACAGGTGTTTGCAGTAGCTCCACCATCTGCATAGCGCGCACACGGGGGGGGTGGGGGGGGTGGGAGGAGGCGGGTAAACACACAGTGGACTCTATATGATCTGGGGGAGGCGGAGATAGGATGACCTAGGTAAAACAAAAACATTGATGAAGCAGAACATCTTCAGGAGCCAAGACAACTCCTGAAGATGCCCATGGTAGTGTGTGGCGAAAGCATGAGAGGAGAAATGTCCAACCCAGGAAAGCGCATTTGGATTGCAAAGTGGCTGCAAAAACGTACATAATCAATGTGAATTAGGTTTTAAAATCGTATTATGTACGTAGGATGGTGGAGAAGACGTAAAAAGTGTTGTCTGTTATTTTTGTTTCTTAAAATCATCGGTCAACGAGTCACGAGTTAGAAGCAGCAAGTGATAGAAGCAGCACGTGCATAAAATACACAAATGAACGTCGTACACACTTTTGTATTTATCTTCCTTTTGTAACAAGCCCGGTTTATCCATAACCCAGATAATCTGCACACAGATAACCCAAGTTAAGTGTATCCAGTAATTTGGTTAACAAACAATTATCAGCTGCATTCTGGGCGATTTGCCCCCCTTGTCACAAGACTGTGAAATTTCCACACACGGGCTCAGGCCCGTAAACGGTTGCGCGCACCAATGCCTCAATGTTCACTTGAGCAGAAAATCCCTCCGACTTGAAACAAACAAAAAAATACTCGGAATGATTTGAAAACAGTGGCCCTCACCTGACCCCCGTGCGTCACCTTGTCCCCATCCCGAACCATGACTGGATCGTATATGACAAAAGATAAGAATAAAAAAACACAACAAGAAAGAAGACGGAAGGGAAAAAGTGTGACCTGTTGGTCATTGAACTCCAGGTCCAAGTCCGTGATGGACACCGACCGGACGTGGGTTTGGAGGAAGCTGTCTTCAAACGAGTCCCAAGACATGTCAGACAGCACTAGCGGGTGCCTCTTCAGCAGCTCCATCACGTGTGACACCACGACCTCCATCTTTGCCGTGCTGTCGATATAATCGAGGCGTAAATATCAGCGGAGATACCAAGACTCAAAACCTCACGTCGAGTGCTTTATGTACGTGTGTGCGTGTGGTGTAGCAGTTTAGCGCGCTGCGCTACGAACCCGGCCACCCGAGTTCGATTACCGCTCACGGCCAACACCAGTGATGGACATCTGGACCGGTCACGGGCCTCCCCTAGGTCAACTCAACCTCAAATGAGTACCTGGTGCTGTGTGTAAACATCAACACTGGTGTTGGAAAGCCACCCCCTCGTTGCTGTGCCGGCCGTCATAGGTACTGGCTAAAATTACTTGTCCAGCAGTCTGTTATGGCTATACGGGGGGGGGGGGGGTCTTTGTTTTTGTACCTGTCGGATTTCTGGATGACCTCCACATGCACAATGGGATGGTGTCTTGGAAGAGCATCCTTCAAGTCCTTGGTTCCCACCTCCATTGCTGTGATTTGAGGGTCGACAGCTCCAGAAAAACGCAGGATGGCTCAACTCCCTTTTGCTGCAATTACAACCGTGATCAAAATACAATCATTATCAATTTAACATGTAGGCTTTCGCGACCAATATTATTCATAATATAAGTTTTTGGGTCAGATCGCGTTATTTATAAATGTGTCGATTTTAATATAAAGTGAATTATTTTGTCCTTTGAAAACGTGACACATTTTTTTACTGTTTGGCCGTGTCGGGTGGTGGAGGGTTACGACACATTTATAAATAACGCGATCTGACCCAAAAACCTATATTATGAACAATCATTCTCATCAACCACGGTCTTTTATCCACTGCTTGATGAAGTTGAAGTTAAGTGTATTTGTTTAACCAGTTAAGAACCCAAGAGACCAGGGATAGTCTCAATTTGCACGAGTGACGTGGGTCATTACAAAAGTAGAATAAATAAAAGGGGCAGAATTTAATGACAAAACAAGGATTTACCACGATCTGCTGTAAATACTATACAGCTGTAAAGGCATTATATGGTTCTTTAGATAAAGTCACAAGATAGAAAAAATAATCACAACAAAATAATTAAAATAAAGTGAACAAAAAATCACGTTTCCAGCGCAACACAAGCGGTGGTCATCGACCGCTTGTGTTGCGATCGAAACGTCGTGATGTTTTTATTATTTTGTATTCACTTTATTTTCATTTGTATTATTTGATTATAATTTTCCCGTCTACGTGGCTTTACCGAAAGAACCATAGAATATGAATTCCTGCAGTCACGAAAGTTTCAAGTCAGCTGTTAAGATATTCAAATACCAAGTAGACACCAATTACAAGGTATCATATCTGCGCTACCACACATACTTGTGGTAAAAAAAACGCAAATATGCTTTGATAACGTCTGCGTTTGATTACGTGCTTAGCAAAAGGGTCCCATTACTAAAAGTACAGCATGAAACAGGTCTCCCAAAGTCGTCCTTCCTTCATGATCAGTCAGTAAACGTCTCACTCCGGCATATGTCCGCATCTCATTACTCCACACTATACAATACAACTGCTGTATATGGCGGAGACGTCACACCAGGGCTCTTGTGCCAGGCTAGGTGCCCTTTGACATATAAAGATCTCCCGTTTCGCCTCAACAGACTGTTGGAGCAAACGCTGTTAGCGAGCACCTATGAAAGCCGGCACGGCACGCGAGAGGGTGGGTAGCCAGCACCACGCCATGCCGCCTTTGTCTCCCCAGTGGCGATGTTTACACACCGCACCGGGTACTCAATTGTGGCCGAGTCGACCTGGGGAATGCCCAGAACCGGTTCAGATAATCGTCACCGGTGTTGTCCGTGAGCGGAAATCGAACTCGGGTGGCCGGGTTCGTAACGCAACGCGCTAACCACTACACCACCGCTCCCCACACGCGCCGCCTATACGATGCATCATCATCACGAGTCTGAATTTTATCTACTGCTGGATGAAGCCCTCCCCACGCTGTTGGCCATTGCTCAGCCCTGCCGTGCCGTAACCCACTCGTTCGTGCACATCAACTAATCCCTCGTTGCTCCAAATCCGCGGCGATCAAATCGCTCCAAGCGAATTTTCTACATTTGCTGCCGATTTTAATCTATAAAATTGACACATTACGCTGTCGCCTCGACAGACCTGGTTTTCACCTGAGGACGGCTGCTTGCTTTGTGGCCGAAACGTCGTGAGAATTGTATTATTATGTTTTATTTTTATTATTTTATTACTTCCCTTCTACGTGACTTTACCGAAAGAACCAAGAAGTTGACACATTACGCTTAGGTTTTTTCGCTGCGACGGTCCCACCTGATGACGGAGACTTGTGTTGCCTCCGAAACGTCGTGATTTATAATTTTATTTTTATTTCTATTATTATTTCTATTATTTATTTTTACCTGCGTGACTTTACCGAAAAAAAACCTAAGAGTATGAATCCTTGCAGTCACGAAAGCTTCAAATCTATAATTGACACATTACAACACAAAGTTTAGCTGGGGTTGTGGGGGTGGTGATGTCGTTCACCAACCCGCACTTACCAGCGTGGTGAAGTATGGTCAAATAGCCTTCGTCCAACGATGGATTGTAAACTAAGGGGGTATAATAAATTACTTGTTTCGTTTCGATTTAAAGCTTTCGTGACTGCAGGGATTCATCTTATTGGTTCTTTCGGTAAAGTCACGTAGAAGGGAAGTAGTAAAATAATACAAATAAAACATAACAAAATAATTCTCACGACGTTTCGGCCACAACGCAAGCAGCCGTCCTCAGGAGCATATATATATATATATGCTTGGAGCATATATATATATTACCGAAAGAACCAAGAAGATGATTCCCTGCAGTCACGAAAACTTTAAATCGAAATTTACTTGTGTCGTGTAAAGAACATCGCTTTATGAAATACATCGAATGGGGTCAAACACAAGTCGCATTGAAGAAAATAACTTAAACCGCTTACTTCAATCAGCCACTTGGCTATAAGCCTATACGGTACTTGAAAACTATACAGTACTTAAACACTGAAGCAACACACATCGCGTTAGCGGTATAAACACCAGCTGCTGTGTGTATGTTCGTACATTTATTAAACGTTATCACCGCAACTCTGCTATCCCGTTTAAAAGCCCACGCTATCGCCGACATACTAAAAACTAACGTTTATCAACGCGGACGCATTCATTAGTTTTAACACAAGCTGCTGTGGCATCGATTGGTCTGCATACGTACAATAAACGACAACATGTAAGCAATTAACACGTTTATAGAGTGTTTACGCTGTAATCAGCGAAGCCTTCGCTAGGCCCAAACCAAGGCCTAGTGCGGCGTTGTTTTTACTTTACCAGCGATCAGAACGCATTCAAAGTTTACACATCGCACTTAATCAACGCAGCGAACAAGATACCTCTAGCAATGTTGTTGTTGTTATAATTGAGCGTTTGATTCTCACCGAGTTCCTGGTGTTTGTGCGTTTTGTCTCCGTTAAAACTTTTCACTTTTAACTTTATTTTACTTTCAACTTTGCCGCCAAATTCGACCGTTACCATGGCAACTGCGGCGCGCGAGTTACCGAAGGGAAACTCTGTGATTGGTCACCGTTCCAGTCGCTATTTACGTCATAATATTAATACAATGTTTCATACGTTCATTAATATTAACTATTTAACTTGTTTGATGGGGAACCTTAATTTAACTTTACGCATTAAAATAATTAACCTGCAAAAAAAATTCCCTTTAGAAGTTGAATAGTCACTGGTGCAGCCGCTATTTAACTACTATAATAAGAAAAGTCGTGTTTTAATTTAATTTATTAAAATTTTATTTTATTTTCACATACGTGCCATTACCGAAAAAATAAAAGCCAAGAATGTGTCCCGCGCGTGACGTCACTCCACACGAGGCCCACCCCCACGTGACGTCACTCCACATGAGGCCCACCCCTGCGTGACGTCACTCCACATGAGGCCCACCCCTGCGTGACGTCACTCCACACGAGTACTCTCCGCGTGACGTCATTCCACATGAGGCCCTCCGCGTGACGTCACTCCGCATGAGGCACCCCCCCCCCTCATTAATATTCATGAGTGGGTGGATTTTTACACGAACGCAGGTCGAAGGGCATTTAATAGTTTATTCGGCAAAGTCGCTTCAAATGACGTTCCTTTACAGAAAGTGACGGTAACACTGGTCAACACACTTTTTCTGGCATAAGGTATTCCAACGCTTTTAAGGTAATTTGTGGTGCTGATTCCAAATCTGACATCAGTTTTTGTCTATCACATTTTTGAGATATCAAATATTTCATTTTCAATAAAAACTGCAGAAGAAAAATATTAAATAAATGTGGATATCTACGTAAAATTATATTATAAACACACTATCCTAAAAAATAAAGCACCATATTTTAACACTAAAGCAGTCACTGACTCGCAACAACTTGCAATCATAAGTGACAGAGGTAATTTCGGGTAAAATCAATGAAAATGGGGTATGCCGATAGCATACAAAATTAACCTGTAAAAACAAAGTTTTTCACTCTAAATCCTTTATATGCGTGGCGGCTAGAGTCCTCTGGCTTGAGATGGCTGCCACCTATGTGTCAGATGATTGATTGGCACCATTAAGCAATTGGTAATTACATATAATTTTTTGTTCCTAAACAGTGTAAAATTTTGAAGAAAAAAAATTCACGAAAATTAATTGTCACGCACAACGAGTCTGTGTGCAAAATGTCAGCTCGATTGGATCACGGGAAGTGGGTAAAAAACGACCGAAAGATTTGCACGGTCGTAAGCGGTAAAAGTCACGTAGGTAAAAATAAAAATAAATAATAAAAAATAATCGAAATAATAATAGAGCAAAATAACTGTAGGTATTTAGCTGTGCCTTTTTACACCTGATGAAGGAAGCTTGTGTTGCCTCCGAAACGTCGTGATTTATTATTTTATTTCTATTATCATTTCTATTATTTTTATTTTTTATTTTTACCTACGTGACTTTACCGAAAAAACCTAAGAGTATGAATCCTTGCAGTCACGAAAGCTTCAAATCTAGAACATTCTGATATTTGGGCCGGTTATTTCTTCGCGGATTACGTCATGTGCTCCATGCGCGTGCTCGCTCATCCCAAATACATCCGTGACGTCATTGCACTACTTGTGCGCTAAAGAATGACGTCATATCTAATGTATAAGATAGCATTTGTAAACAGATCGGTTTGCACACGTGTTCTTGCATGACGTCACATCTCAGGTACAGGTTAAATGTAAACAATGGGACCAGACAATGATGCTGACATGACATCACCATCTCACTTTTCTTTGAAACTGATGACGTCTCCTTAGATACGCGTGCGTTTGCACGACGTCACATCTCAGTTACAGAATCTGTAAAATAAATGACGTAATCAAACGAGAAACGTACGATGACGTAACAGTCACAGAACAATTTGCAGTACACGCGCACGCATGACGTCACGGCAATAGCACTGCGACCTTTAAAGGGGGGAGGGGGAGGAAACAATAATCGACGTTTCGGGCAGTGTCCCATCTTCAAAGCACTTCTTAATGTGGCGCGAGTTTGAAGGGACATTGGTGGTGTTCATTCAGACGCTGTCTTTCCGACAGACCTGTTCTTCACCTGAGGACGGCTGCTTGCGTTGTGGCCGAAACGTCGTGAGAATTATTTTATTATGTTTTATTTTTTTATTATTTCCCTTCTACGTGACTTTACCGAAAGAACCAAGAAGATGAATCCCTGCAGTCACGAAAGCTTTAAATCGAAATTTGAAGGGACATTGTTTAAAACGCAGCGCTATTATTGACGCGTCTGTTGAGTAACTCGTTTCGCTAATTGTTAATTGTGCTTGTGCGTGCACCGCCAACAACGCAGCGCGTGACGCAATCACCCAAGTTCGTTTTAAACTTCTCAAATCACTTAAATTTCGATTTAAAGCTTTCGTGACTGCAGGGATTAATCTTCTTGGTTCTTTCGGTAAAGTCTGTCGAGGAGACAGACTGTCTCCTCGACAGACCTGTTCTCCACCTGAGGACGGCTACTTGCGTTGTGGCCGAAACGTCGTGAGAATTATTTGATTATGTTTTATTCTTTATTATTTAAATTCTCAAATCACTTTTGCTGTTTGTTGTTGTTGTTGCAGCTGATTGCGTCATTTCTCCCCCCTTAAAAAAAAGACTCGGGTTATGACGTCACCCACGCTGCCCCTTGTCGGACAATTGCCCCCTGCTGCCCCCCCATTGTTATTATCGACTGCTGCCCCCCTTGCTACCCCCCCCCCGCCCCTATTGCATTGCCTACTCCTGCCGCCCCTATTACTATAGCCTACTGCTGCCCCCCCCCCCATTGCTATTGCCTACTGCTGCCCCCCCCCTTATTATTGTGCTTACTGTCCTTCCCCCCCCCCATTGCTGTTGCCTACTGCTACCCACCCCCCCCCCCCATTGCTGTTGCCTACTGCTGCCCACCCACCCCCCATTGCTATTGCCTACTGCTGCCCACCCCCCCCCCATTGCTGTTGCCTACTGCTGCCCACCCCCCCCCCCCATTGCTGTTGCCTACTGCTGCCCACCCACCCCCCATTGCTGTTGCCTACTGCTGCCCACCCACCCCCCATTGCTATTGCCTACTGCTGCCCACCCCCCCCCCCCATTGCTGTTGCCTACTGCTGCCCACCCCCCCCCCCATTGCTGTTGCCTACTGCTGCCCACCCCCCCCCTCATTGCTGTTGCCTACTGCTGCCCACCCCCCCCCCCCCCATTGCTATTGCCTACTGCTGCCCCCCCCCCCCCATTGCTGTTGCCTACTGCTGCCCACCCCCCCTCATTGCTGTTGCCTACTGCTGCCCACCCCCCCCCCCCCCATTGCTGTTGCCTACTGCTGCCCACCCCCCCCCCCCCCCCCCATTGCTGTTGCCTACTGCTGCCCACCCCCCCCCCCCCATTGCTGTTGCCTACTGCTGCCCACCCCCCCCCCCCCCATTGCTATTGCCTACTGCTGCCCCCCCATTGCTATTGCCTACTGCTGCCCCCCCCCCAATTGTTATTGCCTACTGCTGCCCATCCCCCCCATTGCTATTGCCTTCTGCTGCCCCCCCATTGCTGTTGCCTACTGCTGCCCTCCCCCCCAATTGTTATTGCCTACTGCTGCCCATCCCCCCCATTGCTCTTGCCTTCTGCTGCCCCCCCATTGCTGTTGCCTACTGCTGCCCTCCCCCCCAATTGTTATTGCCTACTGCTGCCCATCCCCCCCCATTGCTATTGCCTTCTGCTGCCCCCCCATTGCTGTTGCCTACTGCTGCCCACCCCCCCCCCCCCATTGCTATTGCCTACTGCTGCCCACCCCCCCCCCCCCCCATTGCTATTGCCTTCTGCTGCCCCCCCCCCCCATTATTATTGCTTTCTGCGGCCCCCCCCCCCCCCCCCCATTGCTATTGCCTACTGCTGCCCCCCCCCCATTGCTGTTGCCTTCTGCTGCCCTCTGGCGGAGAGACGCGACTCTGCCTTCGCGGGGCGCACGACGGCCCATGCGCAATTGGAGCGTCGCAAAAGAATTCGCTTCGCAGGCACGCCGCGCATCGCACACCGCGCACACACATCGCTGAGTGTTATTGCCAAACAATGCCGCGGGTGGGATGAGAGAGGAGGAGGGCTCCTTCCCTCAAGGCCCACGCGGCTCCCCTCCGTCTCGATAGTCTCCCGACGCGCCTGAGAAAACCTTTGCCCCGTTCACCGGAGCCCGAAGGCAATTCGGAGCGGGGTTTTCGAGCGGTAGGAGATGTGAATTTTAATGGCAGTGAGTGCGGTGGTGGTGGTGGTGGCGGTGGTGATGATGACAATAATAGCAGTAGCAGCAGCAGCAAAGCGAAGACATTGACAATAGCAGCAGCAGCATCGGCAGTTATGGGTAAAAAACACAAGAAACACAAATCGGAGAGACGCGACTACAAAGGTATGGATTGTGATGATTTCATCTCTTTGTGGGTTCACGTGGCTGGTGGTGGTGGTGGTGATGTGATGGTGTCATCATCATCAATAGCATGCCATCAGTAGTAGCACGATCACGTGGATGATTGTCAACATGACAGCGGTGATGAGGGTAGTTAATTATCATTGGGATTGAGGTGGTGATTGTTGTAATATTTATTATCGGATCATCAGCGCGACGAGGTTCTAAGCATCATCACGTGGGTTATTGTCAACATGACGGTGGTGATGAATCATTGTGATGGAGATAAGTGTTTGAGATGATTTTGATTCGAAATGTTATTACGATCCATCATCAGCACGACATCGTCAAGCATAGGGAATGATGGTCATCGTATATGGATGGTTATCAGCGGAATGATTATTGCGATTTTGGTCATAGTGGATGTTGTGATGATGATGATAATGCTGGTGATGGCATGATTTGTCAACAGAGTTATCAAAGTTATCAATATGTGATGAATGAAATCATGGTGATGGTTTTCATAATGATGACAATTATTTGTGATTGGAACTGGCATGATGATGATGATACTCGCCATTATAGTGGGCATTTTAAAACACAGCTCTCTACTGAATCTCAAAACAGACGATGATTACATTGTACTACAGCAATCCTTTGCATATCCATATACCGCCGTGGACATGAAGCAATGAATTCAGCTGGCGTGCCGCTGGTGTTACATGGATTGTTACATCACAGCACCGCGGGACAGCGGTCGATTGATCTTCCCATGAGACACGTGTAGCCCGTGTCGGCTCACCTGGCGTGAATTCCCACTTCGTTGAGCTATCGTTTGTGGCCAGGCCGCTTCTGAAAAAGAAGCTAGTAGCTCAGTCAACCTTTACCTGGTAAGATTTAAAAGCAATAATTTAATTTTATTTGTATATTTTTGTTATGTAAAGTTATTTTTTTTACCTTTCCTATACTTTGCACTCCTATTGTGTTTTTTTTATTATTATTTAAAATTAATAAAAAATAAAACAATAAAATCACGACGTTTTGGAGGCAACACAAGTCTCCGTCATCAGGTGGGACGGTCACAGCCAGATTTGCTGCATCTGGCTGTGACGGTCCCACCTGATGACGGAGACTTGTGTTGCCTCCGAAACGTCGTGATTTTATTGTTTTATTTTCATTAATTTTAATTTCATTTTTTACCTACGTGACTTTACCGAAAGAACTAAGAGTATGAATCCTTGCAGTCACGAAAGCTTCAAATCTAGAATTTTTTTTAATTGTTGTTGGAACGTTCTGACCCCGTGCGTCTACTAGAAACCCGTGGGAAAAGAGTTTCATAGCTCATCGGATTCCTCATCCAGTATAAGTAAAGACTCAGATTCTGAGTCGCATTCATGATTGTGCACGTCCCACCGGTTTGCAGTCCAGAGATTCCCAGTACTGTAGAAGTCTTGTACCGTATCTTGCCGTGTGCGTAACTGCCGAAATGTTGCGGTGAAAATGTCCAAGGTGGAGTGGAGCTATGGGGCCCACCACGTGATTCAACAGTGAACCGGGGATTGAAGTCTTAAGCTGGCTAGGATATGTTAACTACCTCGCCTGGTATGCAGGAGGTCGTCGGTTCGATCCTCGACCCTGACGCCTGCTGCTGTATATTTGGAGTTTGCATTTTATCCCCGTGGTTACGTGGATTTTTCTCCAGGTCCTCCACTTTTTTCCCTCCACAATTAGAAACGTGCGTTAAGAGTATTCGGCTGCTGCTATACATGTCCACGTGATACGCCACTTAGTTGAGCTGTACTTTGTTGAAGCCAGGTCGCTTCTGTGAAAGAGCTACATAGCTCAATGGGCCTTATACCTGGTCAAATCAAAATAGTTTAACCCGTAGGCTTTCGCGTGGGCTAAAGCAGTGAACTATTTGTCTTTTGTCAACGTGACACTTTTTTACTGATTGGCCGTGTCAGGTGGTGGAGGGTTACGACGCATTTATAAATAACGCGATCTAAACCCAAAAACGTTAATAATCAAATCAAAATAGTTTAGTTGTTTTATACTCTTTGGTTCTTTCGGTAAAGTCACGTAGGTATAAAATAAAATAAATAACGACGTTTCGATCGCTACACAAGTGGCCGCCATCAGGTGGAACAGATACAGCAGGAGTGAACTGCTGACTATGTCAGAAGTTCACCTGCTGACTATGTCGCTTGTGTTGCGATCGAAACGTCGTGATTTATTTTTATTTTCTACCCACGTGATTTTACCGAAAGAACCAAAGAGTATGGATTCCTGCAGTCACGAAAGCTTCAAATCAAGATTTTAGTTGTTTTAGTTTAGAGGAATAATATACTTTTGCTTGTTCGATTCCATCTACAGGGGCATTGAACAGGGTGATGTGGGCTGCTGGTGTGGGCTGATGGTCACTGTTGTAGAGGTACAACCTCTACCTAGAAGTACCACTTTTGAATCAAGCCAGTTTGACACGTAGGCTTTCGTGACCATTGTATTCACAATTACAATTTGAGTAAAAATTGTGAATATTGTGGGTTTACTCTCCAACACACCGGTGTGCTGAAGTGCTGTAGTCACTAATTGACACGTTTTGTTTATGTGGCTAACATTAAATCTTGACTTAAAGCTTTTGTGACTGCAGGAATTCATATTCTTTGGGTCTTTCGGTAAAGTCGCGTAGATAGGTTAAAAGAAAAAATGTTATTTTCTTTTTTGTTATTTTCTTTGAACCTTTCTACGTGACTTTACCGAAAGACCCAAAGAACGTGACAAACATTACTAATTGGTTGTGCCCAGTGGTGGCGGATTTAACGACGCATTTATATTTCCGAGATCTAACCCAAAAACAAAACAAACTTTATTCGAAAAAATTGTTGCCGTCACGTGAACCAGTCGCGTTCCCTCTCTGCGATGTTGCCCAGTCATCTCGACCGGCCTCGTGATGCGATCGGGTTACCAGACCACAACGCAGAATAACATCTATCTTCCCCGAATCTGGACGGGACGTCGGGCTTCGCGGTGGGCCAGCGGCAACCGACGTTGGGCAACCCTGACGTGTTTAGCGGGACAGTCGATGATGACGACCCCATTGAGAGCGAGCGAGCGCCGTGTTTCTGTTGCCAGCCGGTCTGTGTGAGGCCGCAGAGCGGACGGACAAACCGCTCCGCCTCGTGCTCAAGGTGGTGGGCGCCACGGTGGCATCTCTGACCACCAGCTCGCCGGCCGCACCCGCCACTGCCTCCACCACCGTCGCCGCCACCACAACCACAACAGCCTCGAGCGTGACCACCGCTGCGACCACCGACGCCGCCAACACAACCGCCACCGCCGCCAGGACGCACGAGCCCCCAGTCTCCGCCGCCGCCGCCGCCGTCGTAACCGTCACAGCCGTCGCCAAGACCGGGCCCTCGCCTTCGCTTGGCTCGACTGACGGGCCGCAACCGGAGCCGGACGCCGAGCCGGATCGGAACGCAGACTCGGAGCGGCACCGCGAGCGCCGGAAAAAAAAGAAGAAGAAATCGGAGAAGGAGAGGGAGCGCCGGCCCGGTGATGAGGAGCGCCGGCGCAGGAAGGTGTGGGGGGGCGCAAGCCGTGACGGTGGGACGGCCGCGCGGTAGCGCGTTTGCCGCTCGTTGCAGAGGTTCGCGGTCGCAGCCCTGTCGGCCGCCCCGGTTAATGCTGCGGGGCCTTCACCTGGCAGCGGATTTAGAGATGGTTTTGACATCTAAAACAAAGACATTGGAGACTGATTACTTTTATAATCACCAAGCAAGCACGATCGCCGACCATGTACCCCCCACTTGATCCCTCCTCTGACCCCGTGTGCCCACGAGTGTGACCTCACATGGCCCCATCTGTGACCCCGTGTGTGACCCCGCGTATGACCCCGCGTGTGACCCCGCATGTGAGCGGTAGTGTAGCGGTTAGCGCGCTGTGCTACAAACTCAGCAACCCGAGTTTGATTCCCGCTTACGCCCAACACCAGTGACGATTAGCTGCATTGGTCCTGGGCCTCCCCTAGGTCGACTCAGCCTCAATCTAGAAGTGTATAGGAGCCTTTAACACTTAAGTAGATGTATGTATGTTGAACTTCTTTCCCACCGTACGTAGCCAACCGCCCTAATCGGAGGTGTGGGCTAAGGACAACAAACTAAACACAAAAAGCCTCAAATGACTACCTGGTGCGGTGTGTAAACATAACCACTAGGGAGACAAAGCGTGGTGCTGGCCACCCATCCCCTCGTGTGCCGTGCCGGCCTTCGTAGTTGCTCACTAACAGCACTTGCCCCAACAGCCTGGTGAGGCTACACATGGGGGATCTTTGTCTTTTGAAACCGACTTGTGACCCCACCTGTGACCTTGCATGTGACCCCGCGTGTGACCCTGCCTGTGACCCCGCCTGTGACCCCGTCTGTGACCCTGCCTGTGACCCCACGTGTGACCCCGTCTGTGACCCCGCGTGTGACCCCATCTGTGACCCCGCCTGTGACCCCACCTGTGACCCCGCCTGTGACCCTGCATGTGACCCTGCGTGTGACCCCGCCTGTGACCCCGTCTGTGACCCTGCCTGTGACCCCGTGTGTGACCCCGTCTGTGACCCCGCGTGTGACCCCATCTGTGACCCCGCCTGTGACCCCACCTGTGACCCCGCCTGTGACCCCACCTGTGACTCCGCCTGTGACTCCGCCTGTGACCCCGCCTGTGACTCCGCCTGTGACCCCACCTGTGACCCCGCCTGTGACCCCGCCTGTGACCCCGCCTGTGACCCCACGCACGACCCCGCTGCGCGCGACCCCGCCGCATGACCCCGCCGCGTCATCTAGGTGGAGAAGAAGAAGCATCGCGAGAAGGAGCAGAACGGCAGCGACGCGGACGAGGAGTTCTCTCCACCCAAGAAGGTGGAGGTGAAGGCTCCGCCGGTGCCGGAGCGACCCCTGCGAGCCTGCCGCAACAAGGACCAAGGCACCGCCGCGTCCACCCGCTCGCCCACTCGCCCACTCGCTCACTCGCTCACCCGCCACCGTGACGCCCATCATTTTAAAACATCGATTGCGGATTATCGCGGCTTTGATTACTCGATTATCAACTTGAATGCTCTACGAGTCGGACAAGGGGGCCACAGCCGGGATGTCCGATGATTATTGAAGCGATTAGCCCGATTATCGGTTTGATTAGCCCACTGTCGGTTTGATTACTCGGTAAAACCGATTATCAGTTCAATCACTCAATAACACGAAAATAGTCGTAAAAAATAGCCTCACCTCACCTCTTAAGAAAGTGACTGTTTTCTCAGTTAACCTGATGCACCGGACTTAACCTCAAGTACTAGAGTCTTAACAGTGAGGGGATATTATTCTTTCGTGTCAAAATTATTGCCATTTTTTTTTTGGGTTGTGATTTATTTTTTTGTTTTGCGTTGCGGTTGTCGATTAGAGATCACTTTCATATTTACTATCATTGAATATTTTAAGGACAACTTCGGAACTTTTTCTGGCGGGAGACTTCCTGAGCGTTTCCATAGTGTGCTCGTGTGGTGCGATACCACGTGGACGCCACTTTCTGAGGGGGGGGGGGGGTTGGGAGGGGGGAAGAGACGTCACTTCCCTTTTCGGACCAATCATAAACAACCAAACGTTTTGGGCCGTCCAAACAAATTTCCTCCGGCCTGAATTTAGGAGTATTGTTGTTTTTAAATCCTTTATATTAAGTTCGCTTGCTTGCTTGCGTGCTTGCTTGCTTGCTTGCGTGCTTGCTTGCGTGCTTGCTTGCTTGCTTAGGACCGTGCAAATCTTTCGCTCGTTTTTTAACCCACTTCCCGTGATCCAATCGAGCTGACATTTTGCACACAGGCTCGTTGTGTGAGACAATTAATGTTCGTGAAAAAAATTCCCAAAATTTTACACTGTTTAGGGAAAACAAATTAAATATTTAATTACCAATTGCTTAATACTGACAGACAATCATCTGACCCATAGGTGGCAGCCATCTCAAGCCAGAGGACGAGAGGACTCTAGCCGCCACGCATATAAAGGATTTATAGTGAAAAACTTTGTTTTTACGGGTTTACTTGTTTATTCATCTATTGGATTTGAATTGCTGGCAGGCAGCTCTACGTTATCATTCCGCTCTCAATGCCTCCCCCAGGCCAGGAGCTCGCACCGCTGCAGCTGTTACTTGAACACCTTTTGCAGCAGCTTCAAAGGTGACTTCATCGCCGTCATCGTTGTCAGCGCGGTCACAATAATCGTTACTTCTTCTTGGTTCTTTCGGTAAAGTCACGTAGAATGGAAGTAATAAAATAATAAAAATACAACATTATAAAATTATTCTCACAACGTTTCGGCCACAACGCAAGCAGCCGTCCTCAGGTGGAGAGCAGGTCTGTCGGAAAGACAGCGTCTGGATGACACACTCCAGGCTTGGAGCGACTATTTTAGCTGGGATGGAGGGGGGAAGGGCGCCTTGACAAAATTATTTAGCATATTTATGTTTTATTTTTATTATTTTATTATTTCCATTATACGTGACTTTACCGAAAGAACCAAGAAGATGAATCCCTGCAGTCACGAAAGCTTTAAATCGAAATGTAATCATTACTTGTTTTTGGTATGGCGCACCTATACGCCGGGGGCGTCTCAGAGCGGCTCGCATTACATTTCATATCAAACACCTTTGAAAGGGCACCCCCAGTGGCAGCTGTCCCTGTGGGTACAAAGTGGCATCCTTAATCTAATCTAGTATACAATTACAATAATTACTAATCTAGTATACAATTACAATAATTACTAATCTAGTATACAATTACAATAATTACTAATCTAGTATACAATTACAATAATTACTAATCTAGTATACAATTACAATAATCCCCCCCCCCCTTCCGCCTCAAATCGTTGCACCTGATGAGTTGATGAGTTAATGATCAAATCGTTGCACCTGATGACTTGATAAGACCGAGAGACAGAGCAGAGCCTCACCATTCTGGCGAATTACCCGATGATACTGGATGCAATTACCAGCGAAACGTCGTGCTACTCAAAGCGTGAAACCACGATGATGCTGGATGTAATTACCAGCGAAACGTCGTACTCAAATTGTAAATGTTGTGGTGTCACTCTTCAACACACCGGTGGGCTAAAGCAGTGAACTATTTGTCTTCTGTCAACGTGACACTTTTTTTACTGATTGGCCGTGTCGGGTGGTGGAGGGTTACGACACATTTATAAATAACGCGATCTAAACCCAGAAACGTTGATTATGAATGGCATCCTTAAGTCGGCTCTAAGTGGGCCGCCCTGCTGGGAACTTATTCAGAAAGTGAATTTATAAACCGAAGAAGCTTCCAGCACGATGTCTGACGTTCCGCCGCATGTTAGGGTGCCACTCAATGTGCGTATGGAAGAGTGAACTGTCAGTTGCAGCTGAGAATCTCGTTCAAGTGACAGGCTGCTCAGGACCCCCCCCCCCCCCCTTATCTTCTCCACGCCTGTCCGTCTACGATATGACTCTGTTGGTATCGACTGGAATGCATTTTCACAACTCCGTTGAGCCACCGGTAAATGTCGAAAGATCCTTTGTTACGAGCCACCCAACGGAGAGGGTCACTGCATCGCGAGCTTTCAGATGCGCTTCTGCGGCCGTCTGGAACGCTCTTCCTGCCGATATGAGGAATCCGCTGTAGCTATGCACTTTAAAATCGTCCAGATTGACACAATAATTTCTTTAGAACAGATTTTTTTATGGTTAGTTGTCTATCCTCCGCAACGCCGATTAGCAACATTGGCTCCGTACGGTGCGAAAGAAGTTCAACATTTATAGACTCACACAGAGACACATAGACTCACACAGAGACCCATAGAATCACACAGGGATCCATAGACTCACACAGAGACACATAGACTCACATAGAGACACGTAGAAATATACATAGACCCATACTTACACAGAGACCCATAGACTCACACAGAGAACTATAGACTCACACAGAGACCTATAGACTCACACAGAGACACATAGACTCACACAGAGACCCATAGATTCACACAGAGGTCCATAGATTTACACAGAGACACATAAACTCACACAGAGACCCATAGATTCACACAGGGACCCATAGATTCACACAGAGACCCATAGATTCACACAGAGACCCATATATTCACACAGAGACCCATAGACTCACACAGAGACCCATAGATTCACACAGAGACCCATAGACTCACACAGAGACCCATAGACTCACACAGAGACCCATAGACTCACACAGAGACCCATAGTTTGTTGTCCTTCCCCTGCACCTCTGATTATCATGGTTGGCTACACACGGCGCGAAAAGAAGTTCAACGTGCGTACGTGCAGTGCTTCAATCTCACAGGCAAACAAATACAACACAGGCGTGGACCTTGATAATTATAAACGTTAAGGATGAGCGGCATGTGATTCCATGTGTAATGGGTTCCGGAGACACTTTTCATAGGTAACTTCTTTATTACAACACACCACTCCAACAGTACTGACACAGCCTACTTCTAGCGTGCCTGACACTGGCTACGCTCTCGGGTCCTTCGGCTACGATTACCCCACGGGAGGCTACCTGACCCGACCCAGCCAAGGTACGGGTCTCGACTCTGGCTTCCTCGGACCTCGCCCTTACAAGGGCGTAGAGCCGGGAGTCCCAGAGTCCCACCACTGGCCCGCACAGCGTCCCGGCCCTTACAAGGACAAGCGGGACGAGGGGGTCCAGGGTCCTAAGCTGGCTGGTCTTGGGTCTTCAGCTGCGACTGGCCCCGATCGGCTGGGGAGGTGCCCTTTTATCCCCCTTGCCCATCGAGGGGTGGGGTTGCGTGGGATCATAGATCCCTCGCAGCCCCCCGTTGGTGGCGCCAAGGGGCTTAGCTGTCTGGGATCTTGAGCCCCCAGCAGCCCCTCCCCTCTTGGGCTTGCACAGTGGCCCCTCCCCTGAGGGTCCGAGGTACCTGCAGATGGGCCCTGTCCACCACTGTCGGTAAGTGTGGCCCATCTACGGCACTACACGCCGTAGATGGGCCACACGTGCGACGTTCTCGTGGTTTGCCTTCCTTCCCCAGGAGGGACCCGCACGGATTTTTCGCGCTGCCTGTGACGGACATGATCGCTCCGGGCTACTCCATGATCATCAAGCACCCGATGGACTTCAGCAGCATGAAGGACAAGATCGAACGCAACGCCTACCAGTCGCTCACCGAGTTTAAGGTCAGCGCCACCGTCACGTTGTGCCCACGGAGACAGCTGCCGCTGGGGGTGCTCTTTAAAATAAAAATAAAAAATGTGCTGAGATGAATGCCCTGGCGTTGAAGACAAATGTTTTGGGTCTTCAGATCTGCTTCGGTAAAGTCACGTAGAAGGGACAGCTCTGTTTCTTCACCTGAGGACGGCTGCTTGTGTTGTGGCCGAAACGTCCTGAGAATTTTATTATTTTTTATTATTGTATTATTTCCCTTCTACGTGACTTCACCGAAAGAACCAATAGGATGAATCCCTGCAGTCACGAAAGCTTTAAATCTAAAAAAGATCTTCAGATCATTTACGTTATTAAATGTAACGTCTTCGTGCTGAAAAAAGTGACGTCGCCTCGTGACTTCAGCTTCGTTGGTGAAAGCGCGGAAGTGGCGCGATGCAAGTTACGCCGCCGCTTCTCGTGACGTCGCACTCCCGCAGTCAATCCGAAGCAAATTTCATTTCTGGATCTTTCATTTCTGAATCGCCCTAACCGTCGCATCTCGGTCCGATCTTTTTTTTCTTCGACTTTTGCTCCGGATAATCCGAAAGTCGTAAACACACGTCCTTCCCTACCACCCGCCGTGCTTCACCGCAGCTCTTTTACACCACAGGGGGACTTCAAGCTGATGTGTGACAATGCGATGACCTACAACCGCCCGGAGACCGTGTACTACAAGGCAGCCAGAAAGCTCCTGCACACGGGATTCAAGATGATGTGCAAGGTTTGTAAAAAAATATTTATTAAAATAAATGTTCGCCTTGTTTTTCCCCAATTATAAATCGGTGTCATGTGATGACAGCAAGTTACGTTTATTCGGCAATTATTGCAGAAGCTCATGTGGCGTTGCCCTGTGTTAGAGAACGGTCCACGGAAGTGGATATCACAGAGTTGCCTCTTAGATACCTTCAGGTGCCATTTAAACACACCGCCTCTGCTATAAACCCATCGTCAACCCCAACCATTTTCCCAACTTGATCTCCATCTATAACCCCAAGACTATCCCTTGCTCCCTGTGTCCATCCCAAATCCTAACCCAGCCTTATCTCCTTGTCTCCATTCTGAACCCTAACCTCTAGCCCAACTCTATCCACATCTCCACTCCTAACCATCACCTCTAACCTCTAACCCAACTCTATCTCCACCCCTAACCTCTAACCTCTAACCCAACTCTATCTCCACTCCTAACCCCTAACCTCTAACCCAAACCTATCTCCACTCCGAACCCCTAACCTCTAACCCAAACCTATCTCCACTCCTAACCCCTAACCCCTAACCTCTAACCTATCTCCACTCCTAACCTTTAACCCCTAACCTCTAACCCAAACCTATCTCCACTCCTAACCTCTAACCCAAACCTATCTCCACTCCTAACCCCTAACCTCTAACCCAAATCTATCTCCACTCCGAACCCCTAACCTCTAACCTCTAACCCAAACCTATCTCCACTCCTAACCTCTAACCTCTAACCCAAACCTATCTCCACTCCTAACCCCTAACCTCTAACCCAAACCTATCTCTACTCCTAACCCCTAACCTCTAACCTCTAACCCAAATCTATCTCCACTCCTAACCCCTAACCTCTAACCCAAACCTATCTCCACTCCTAACCCTTAACCTCTAACCTCTAACCAAACTCTATCTCCACTCCTAACCCCTAACCTCTAACCTCTAACCCAAACCTATCTCCACTCCTAACCCCTAACCTCTAACCCAAATCTATCTCCACTCCTAACCCTTAACCTCTAACCAAACTCTATCTCCACTTCTAACCCCTAACCTCTAACCCAAACCTATCTCCACTCCTAACCTCTAACCTCTAACCCAACTCTATCTCCACTCCTAACCCCTAACCTCTAACCCAAACCTATCTCCACTCCTAACCCCTAACCTCTGACCCAAACCTATCTCCACTCCTAACCTCTAACCTCTAACCCAAACCTATCTCCACTCCTAACCCCTAACCTCTGACCCAAACCTATCTCCACTCCTAACCCCTAACCTCTAACCCAAACCTATCTCCACTCCTAACCCCTAACCTCTGACCCAAACCTATCTCCACTCCTAACCTCTAACCTCTAACCCAAAACTATCTCCACTCCGAACCATAACCTCTAACATCTAACCCAAACCTCTCCCTATCACCACTCCTTGCACGTCGCCCCTAACCCCTAACCCTAACCCCATCTGTGGGCACCACAGGAGAAGCTGGTGCTGCTCAAGCGGAGCATGGTGTTCATGCACAGCATGGACCGCTCGCAGGAGGCCGCCATCTACGGCGAGGGTGGCGGCTGCTCCTCCTCCTCTCCGCTGCTGTTGTTGCTGCCCGGCGGCGGTGGTGGCGCCGGCGCCAACAGCGACCACGGCTCCCTCTCGCCTGCCGAGCGCACCGAGGCCGGCCGGCGAGCACGCAAGTCCGGCAGGGACGCACTGAGGTGCCGGGGGCAGGGAGGCGGTGGTGGTTATGATGGTTATGATGGTGGTGGTGGCGGTAATTGCGATGGCAATGGTCGTGACGGTGGTGGTGATGGTGATGATAACGGTGGTGGCGTTATCATCGGTGATGGCATTGGAGGTAGGAGTGCTGGTGATGGCAATGGTGGTGGCAATGGTGGTTAATGGTGGTGGTCGGGAACGGTAGTGTAGCGGTTAGCAGATTGCGCTATGAACCCGGCAACCCGGGTTCGACTCCCGCTCACGGTTATTTGAACTGGTCCTGGGCCTCCCCTACGTCGACTCGTACGAGTAGCACTAGGGAGACAAAGGCGGCTGGGCGTGGTGCTAGCCTACCACCCCCTCGTGTGCCGTGTCGGCCTTCATCGCTGCTCGCTCACAGCATTTGCCCCAACAATCTATTAAGGCTACACAGGGGAACTTTGTCTGTATCTTTGGCAGTGGGGTGGTGGCAATGATGGTGCTCCCTCCACCACCGCCACTGACCCGCACAATCTCATTTGAGAGCACGGGTGTATCACGGCGTGTGTGTGTCGCGTGAGCGTATCGCGCCGTTTGTGTTGTCGTGCCCTCCGCCGCCCGCTGCCCCCCCACCCCACACCCCGCGCGTCCCAGCTTCCCCGCGGCGGTGGCGGCGGCCTACACGCCGGAGTCGAGCGCGTGCAGCCTCGCGGGCAGCAGCACGGGGGGCAGCAGCACGGGGGGGGGCAGCAGCACGGGCGAGGAGGACGTCACCGCGCTGGCCGAGCACGCGGCCGACGAGGCGCGCGAGCGCCTGCAGCACGGCCGCCCCCGCAGCAAGGTGCGTCCACCCAGCCCGCTCGCCCCTGTGTGGCCACCCAGCCCTTCGTCCCACCCAGCCCGCTCGTCCCACCCAGCCCGCTCGTCCCACCCAGCCCGCTCGTCCCACCCAGCCCGCTCGTCCCACCCAGCCCGCTCGTCCCTGTGTGCCCACCCAGCCCACTCGTCCCTGTGTGTCCACCCACCCAGCCCGCTCGTCCCACCCAGCCTGCTAATCCCTGTTTGTCCACCCAGCCCGCTCGTCCCTGTGTGTCCACCTACCCCGCTCGTCCCACCCACCCCACTCATCCCTGTGTGTCCACCCAGCCTGCTCGTCCCACCCAGCCCGCTCGTCCCACCCAGCCCGCTCGTTCCTGTGTGTCCACCCAACCCACTCGGACCTTCCATGCAGTTGCTCTTCAATGCCCCCTGTGCCACCCCAAGACATCAATCTCTGCCTCCTCTCTCTACACTCTTTCCCATCCACACCCCAATCTCCTCTCCATTCTACATTCTCCCCTCTGCTCTCTCTCCCCTCTCCTTTCCCTCCACTCTCCCCTTCTCCCCTTCCATCTCTCCTCTCTTCCCAGACACAGATAGCGTCAGCGTCAGCGTCATTGTCATATCCCACTCCACTCTCTGCACCTTCCCCTCCTGCTCACTCTCCTTTTTCTCTCTCTCTTCCCACTCCTCCCTGTGGCCACCGGATCTCTGTCCGGATCTGCCCGGATCTTTCCGGATCTGCCTGGAATCTCTCCCGATCTCTCCCGATCTGTCCGGGTTTGCCCGAACCTGCCCGGATCTGCGCCCGGGGTCTGCGGGTGTCAGATCGGGTTCCTCCGGCGGGACTGCGGTGGCTCCACGTCGCTGGCGGTCGTCAACCCTTCGGACCCGGACACCGAGGGTAACGTCATCGCCCGGAGACCTCGTGGGGGGCCCTTGTCCCTCCCTGCCCCCCCCCCCCCCCCCCGACCGAGCCTCGCGGCCAGGCCACAGCGCTACCGCCACCGTGAAGTGGTTATCGCACGGGCTTCCAAACCAGTGGTAGCCGGTCCGATTCCGTCTCCCGGAGCGCCGGTGCCAAACGATGCACCTTTCGATTGGCGCGGTTGGCTGCCTACGGTGCGAAAGAAGTTCAACATACGTACGGACGTACAATGGGCTCGCGTCTGTCTACACCCCCTAGCCCAGGCGGTGATCGTCGTGAAGCCAGCGGTGGTCCTGGTGGTTGGAGTGGTGTTGGCGGCAGTGGTGGTGGTGGTGGTGCTGGTGGTAGTTGCCGTGGTGGTTGTAGTGATGGTGGTGGGAACAGTAATGGTCATGGTGGTTGTGGTAGAAGTGGTGTTGGTTATAGTGATGGTTATGGTGGTTGTAGTAGCAGTGGCGGCCTGTCCCGTGTTGTAATTTGCCGTGCGTGTGTGTGTACGTGCGTATGTACATGTGTGTGTGTGCGTGTATGTGTACGTGCGTGTGTACGTGTGTGTGTGTACTTGTGTGTGTGTGTGTACATGTGTGTGTGTACGTGTGTGTGTACGTGTGTGTGTGTGTGTACGTGTGTACGTGTGCATGTGTACGTGTGTGTGTACGTGTGTGCGTGCGTGTTTGGCTGTGAAGAGGAGGAGATGTATCCGGTGAACATGGGCGTTCTCGTCGGAAAGATTCATCCAGGAATCCCGGTGCCTCCCGGCTTCAGGGACGACCGACGGGGAAAGCTCAGGCCAGGTGTGAAACGTGACTCTGCGATGATCATGATGGTGGCGGTGACATTTTCATTGACCCCCTTACAGAGAATGAACCAGAGGCGTGGAAAACCATAGACAAGCATAAAGGCGCCACCAATTGCCCAAGTTCTGCTGTCCTATGTTGGAATGTTTGGCCAACAATGATGATGCTCATAATACAGGTTATTGGGTTTGATCGCGCAAGATTAAATGTGTCGTAACCCTTCATCGCCCGCCACAGCCAATAGGGTTTGCAACGTTAACAATGCGCCAATTATAGTAGTAGATTTTTACCCTTTTAAACTGGTACAAAACTGACACCTTTATTCAAGGCATCATGTTTGCAATAACCACAACACAAGTAGTCAAAAAAGCAAACAAAAATAAGCTTCTTTTTGTTTGCTTTTTTGACTACTTGTGTTGTGGTTATGGAAAACATGATGCCTTGAATAAAGGTGTCAGTTTTGTACCAGTTTAAAAGGGTAAAAACCTACTACTATATTTTGCCACTGGTAAAAGAGATCTCATAGAATGCGCCAATTAGTTACGACTTTAGCCCACCGGTGTGTTGGAGAGCAAATCCACAACATTGACAAATTGAATACGGCGTTTCGCTGGTAATTACACCCAGCATCATCGGGCGATTTGCCAGAATAGTGAAGCCATCCATCTGCTTCTGGTCTTAAATCGAGCAGCAGTAGCACGACGCCATCACGGAACCCAATCAGGTGCAGAAATCAGAGGCGGAGGAAGGGGGGGGGGTATTATAATTATACAATAGGTTAGTAAGCAGTTAATTACTATGCGTTTCCTCTATAAGGAATTGTAGTTGCATAATGTACGCTGCCTCAGTAATCCACCCCCATCATTGTGCAAGAGCGCAGAAGGGTGGTCAACACATCTACGCCTCTATATAAGGAACGAAACAGTAAGACTTCTCTACAAATCTGGCTGTCGCCTGATGAAGCTGGTTGTAATTACTGGCGAAACATCGTACTCAGATTGTAAATGTTGTGGCTTTGCTCTGCAACACACCGGCGTGCTGTACTAGTACACTACAGTATACACTACACTACTATACACTACACTATACACTACTATACACTACTATACACTACACTACTATACACTACACTATACACTACACTACTATACACTACACTATACACTACACACTAGTGCTCTACTAGTACACTACACTATACACTACACTATACACTACACTATACACTACTATACACTACACTACACCATACACTACACTATACACTACACTACACACTATACACTACTATACACTACACTATACACTACACACTACACTATACACTACACTATACTATATACTACTATACACTACACTATACACTACTATACACTACACACTACACTACACACTACACTACACACTATACACTACTATACACTACACTATACACTACACACTACACTATACACTACTATACACTACACACTACACTATACACTATACACTACTATACACTACACTACACACTACACTACACACTATACACTACTATACACTACACTATACACTACACACTACACTATACACTACTATACACTACACTATACACTACTATACACTACACTATACACTACACTATACACTACACTATACACTACTATACACTACACTACACCATACACTACACTATACACTACACTACACACTATACACTACTATACACTACACTATACACTACACACTACACTATACACTACACTATACTATATACTACTATACACTACACTATACACTACACTATACACTACACTATACGCTACACTATACACTACACACTACACTATACACTACTATACACTACACTACTATACACTACACTATACACTACTATACACTACACTACTATACACTACACTATACACTACACTATACACTACTATACACTACACTATACACTATACACTACACTATACACTATACACTACACTATACACTACTATACACTACACTATACACTACTATACACTACACTATACACTACTATACACTACACTATACACTATACACTACACTATACACTACTATACACTACTATACACTACACTATACACTACACTATACACTACTATACACTACACTATACACTACACACTACACTATACACTACACTATACACTACACTATACACTACTACACACTACACTATACACTACTATACACTACACTACACACTACACTACACACTACACTACACACTACACTACACACTACACTATACACTACTATACACTACACTATACACTACACTATACACTATACACTACACTATACACTACACTATACACTACTATACACTACACTATACACTACACTATACACTACACTACACACTACACTACACTATATAACCTCGTGCCACGGCAGATCCCTCGCCTACTTCAGCAGTTTCTTCTTGCCGTGGTTGTCCCACCTGATGACGATTGCTCGCGTTGCGATCGAAACGTCGTGATCTATTGTTTTTTTACCTGCGTGACTTTACCGAAAGAACCAAAGAGTTTAGTTTTAGGGATGTTAGCTATCGCAGCGTGATAGGCAAATCGCCCGGCCGTTTCACCGCCACGTCACCGCCGCCGCCGGGTTCAACCCAGATTTGAACTCCGCCCTCCTCGCGATCATCGTCGCCTTCATCGTCAGCCATGATCCATCCACTGCTGCCTGACGAAGGCCTTCCACAAGCCACCGCCGTCTCTCTCATGCAAAGGTCCCCCCATGCACACGGCTGCCTCGGCAGTTTAAAATAGCTGTCATCTATCCGGCGGGGAGGCACTTGCCAACCCCAGCGGTGGCGCGAGTGAGCAATTGCAGGGCCGTGCCTTTACCTCGACCTTTTTTTATTTACCTAACGCACCCCCCCTCCACACTGTGTCCACCTGACTCGCCTACCCGGTGGGAGCCACTCAACCCCCCCCCCCCTCTCCGCCCCCCCCCCCTGACAGTGACGTACCTGAACTACGGCCCCTACAGCGGGCAGCCACCGGTGCCGCCGCCGCCACCGCCGCCGCCCTACGAAGGCCCCCTCGCCGGCCTGCTCGACGGCGCCGCCTCCTCCTCCCAGCTGCTCTACTCCACCTACGGGGACGACGCCGCCGTGCAGTACGCGCTCAGGTGAGGCCTCGCCCAGGCCGGCGGCCGCGGGGTCCCGCGTTGGAGTACCGCGCGGCAAAGGTGAGCCGGGCTCGTGGTCGGATGAGCACGCCCGCGTGCCAGTCGGCGGTTCACGTTCCAGGTGGACTGCGACCGTCAAAGGAATGGTGCCGCCCCCATAGTCGCCCCCATAGTCGCCCACATAGTCGCCCGCCCTCCCCCCCCCGGTGATCCGTGGATCAAACAAATCGCTTAAGACGTCGATGTACTGCCACGAAGAGCAATCAACGCAAACGCTGTCGCAAGAGGTCACGCGGTTTGGCGCAACGGTCCTTCGCTGACTGTGCGCAATCAACTAATGAATGTGTGACACGTGTGCGTGTGTGCGTGTGTGCATGCGTGCGCCTATGTACAGCCTACAGGTGTATAGTGGGGAGCGGCAGCGTAGTGGTTAGCGCACTGCGCTACGAACCCGGCAAGCTGACTCCCGGTCACTGCCGAGATCGGTGACGGATGTCTGCACCGGTGCTGGGACCGCTCCTGGGTCGACTCAGCCTTAAAATGATTACCCGGTGCGATGTGTGTAAACATCAGCATCGGGGCGACAAATGTGGCCAGGCGTGGTGCTGGCCCATGAGGTGCAGTAACTGCACTTGCCCCAACAGTCTGTCCAAGGCTATACGGTGGATCTTTGTCTTTGTGCAGTCTGCAGGAGTTCGCCAAGGGCTGTGGGGAGTACGCGGCGCGTGTGGTGGATGATCTTCTCGACGCCCTCACCAGCGGGGAGCACTCACGCACGCTGCGCCTGCTACACGAGGTCACGACCCCACCCCAAGGGATTGTGGGACAACGGGGAGTAGCAAATTTGTTTTTTTCAATGAACACGCGCAGTTATTTCGCCAGTCCACTCCGCATACTGAAACATGACGTAAAGTATTCTTCACAAAACCTATGAAGAACTTTACCGTCGTAAAATTAACAAGCGGATAATATAGCTCCTTCACAGCATCTCTCTCTCTCTACACATCCCATCAGTCCCACGGCCTTCTGGGAGCGAATAATTCTAGGAGCTTAAATTTCGATTTAAAGTTTTCGTGGCTGCAGGGATTCATCTTCTTGGTTCTTTCGGTAAAGTCACGTATTTTATTATTTTCCTTCTACATGACTTTACCGAAAGAACCAAGAAGATGACTTCTAGGAGCATTGACTCAGCACAAGAAAACTGAGGACCGGCTTTGACGTCCACTGCCTCGTCAGCAGGCTCAGGATCGCTTGAATCAATGTCGCTGAACTGCCAGTTTATTGGTTTAAGAGTATTTGGTTGCTATAAATGTCCACGTGATAAGCCACTTCGTTGAGCTATCACTCGCGATAGCCAGGTCGCTTCTGAAGAATAAATATACATTTCGATTTAAAGCTGTCTTAACTGCAGGGATTCATCTTCTTGGTTCTTTCAGTAGATGACGCTGTCTTTCCGACAGCCCTGTTCTTCACCTGAGGACGGCTGCTTGCGTTGTGGCCGAAACGTCGTGAGAATTGTATTTTATTATGTTTTATTTTTATTATTTTATTATTTCCCTTCTACGTGACTTTACCGAAAGAACCAAGAAGAATAAATATACAGCTCAGTGGGCCTTACCTGGTCAAATAAAATAAAATAGTTTATAGTTATAGGCAAGGACCCTCCCTGTTCGATATGGGTGCTCCCACTCCACGTACTGGTCAGCACCTCATGCCCTCTGCTGACAATGTAGCCCCACAGTAACCTAACACACCTGTGTATGCATGGCCTTCGCCAGTCCAAGCGCTCAAAACCTGCTTCGCTTCCGAGATGTATCGAGTATGGGATTGGCCGTAGGCAGTAAGTGTCGGGGAGACTTACACGATTTTATTTTGACCCTTGTAGTTTCATTTTGTTCGTCTCTTCAAGCTCATTCCGATTGTGCTCCTGGCACCATGCCGTGAGGTGAAAGCATCCAATCGGATCCCTCACAGGGCAGTGCACCCACCCCGTGTCTTCGAGAATGGCCCACAGAACGAGAGATCCCAGAACTACTTCTGAGCTCCCACGCTAAAGGCACTGCGCTTTCCCATGTCCCTGGCACAGGTTTCCCTCGCTCTACGCGGGTTCGGTTTGTGCGATTTCACGATTACAGGCAGTCTTCTACTTACGATGGAGATACGTTACGACGACCCCATCGTAAGTCAAAAAGATCGTAAGTCGAAGATGGCCCTACCTACTCAGGAGTCTTAAAGAATGGTGATCATTTAGCAAAACAGAGCAATTTATAGTACCGTACTGTATAAACTATATACTGTATGTATTTATTCATTACAATACTGTATTGCACAGTAAAATGTAAAGTGAAAAAAACAAGGTCAATTCTTAGCCGACCTATATGAACTGCAATTTCATAGAAAGTTTTTTCAGGAAACAATCCTATCTGCATCGCACCAGGCGGGAGATGCGTACAGAACATCCCGGCAGCGTCCCAACATACAGCATCGTACCTCGTACACTGCTGCGTTTGCCTGCCACTCGAAATTTAAATTATTTTACCATTTTGTCATATCGCTATCGCCATCGTAAGATCGAAATATCGTAAGTCGGACCATCGTAACTCGGGGACTATCTGTATATATGTGTTTGTGTGTGGCTAACTTATTTCTGTGCAAAATCTATCATGTTACGCGCCTTGAATTCACTCCACATGCGGCTGCATGGTCGGACGTGGGACAGCGTTGGGTGCTGTGTGTGTACTGTGTGTGGGTGTACTGTGTGCGTGCTGTGTGTACTGTGTGTGTACTCTGTACGCTGTGCGCGTACTGTGTGTGCTGTGTGTACTGTGTGTGTGCTGTGTGTGTACTGCGTGTGTGCTGTGTGTGCTGTGTGTACTGTGTGTGTGTGTACCTTGTGTACCGTGTGCATACTGTGTACTGTGTGTGGGTGTACTGTGTGCGTACTGTGTGCACTGTGTGTGTACTCTGTGAGCTGTGCGCGTACTGTGTGTGCTGTGTGTGTGCTGTGTGTGTAATGTGTGTATCTTGTGTACCGTGTGCATACTGTGTACTGTGTGTGGGTGTACTGTGTGCGTTCTGTGTACTGTGTGTGTACTCTGTGAGCTGTGCGCGTACTGTGTGTGCTGTGTGTGTGCTGTGTGTGTAATGTGTGTACCTTGTGTACCGTGTGCATACTGTGTACTGTGTGTGGGTGTACTGTGTGCGTTCTGTGTACTGTGTGGGTGCTGTGTGTACTGTGTGTGTACTCTGTGAGCTCTGCGTGTACTGTGTGCATACGGTTTGTACTGTGTGTGTACTGTGTGCGTGTACTGTGTGTAATGTGTATGTGTAATGTGTGTACCGTGTGTGTACTGTGTGTGTGTACTGTGTGTGTGTTGTGTGTGTAATGACATGATTCCTTGCAAAAGGTTTCAGTTTGGTGTTTTAACATCTTAACACAACTGTTTTATTGCCAGAGAGGGGAAAACCTATTCTTATATTTTGATACTGGCAAAGGAGGTCCCATAATGTTAACTAAGGTGTCTTTATTTTACCAGGTGAGGCCCAGTGAGCGATGTAGCTCTTATTTCAGAAGCGAACTGGCCGTCACAAATGAAAGCTGAACGAAGTGGCTTGTCATCGCGTGGAAATTTATAGCAGCCAAATACTCGAGACGAGTGACATTGGTTTTAAATGTGGAGGGAAAAACCAGAGGGCCCACGTGAAAAATCCACGCGACCACGGGGAGAAAGAGACACGCAAACTCTGAATATACAGCAGCAGGCGTCAGGGTCAGGATCGAACCCACGACTTCCTGCGTACCAGGCAAGGTAGTTAACATCTCCTAGCCACCGTGATGATGATGAGAGAGACACGCAAACTCCGAAGATACAGCAGGCGTCAGGGTCAGCATCGAACCCACGACTTCCTGCGTACCAGGTGAGGTAGTTAACATCTCCTAGCCACCGTGATGATGATGAGAGAGAGACACGCAAACTCCGAATATACAGCAGGCGTAAGAGTCAGGATCGAACCCACGACTTCCTGCATACCAGGCAAGGTAGTTAACATCTCCTAGCCAGCGTGATGATGATGAGGGAGAGACACGCAAACTCCGAATATACAGCAGGCGTCAGGGTCAAGATCGAACCCACGACTTCCTGCATACCAGGCAAGGTAGTTAACATCTCCTAGCCACCGTGATGATGATGAGAGAGAGACACGCAAACTCCGAATATACAGCAGGCGTCAGGGTCAAGATCAAACCCACGACTTCTTGCGTACCAGGCGAGGTAGTTAACATCTCCTAGCCAGCGTGATGATGATGAGGGAGAGACACGCAAACTCCGAATATACAGCAGGCGTCAGGGTCAGGATCGAACCCACGACTTCCTGCGTACCAGGCGAGGTAGTTAACATCTCCTAGCCACCGTGATGATGATGAGAGAGAGACACGCAAACTCCGAATATACAGCAGGCGTCAGGGTCAAGATCAAACCCACGACTTCTTGCGTACCAGGCGAGGTAGTTAACATCTCCTAGCCACCGTGATGATGATGAGAGAGAGATACGCAAACTCCGAATATACAGCAGGCGTAAGGGTCAGGATCGAACCCACGACTTCCTGCATACCAGGCAAGGTAGTTAACATCTAGCCAGCGTGATGATGATGAGGGAGAGACACGCAAACTCCGAATATACAGCAGGCGTCAGGGTCAGGATCGAACCCACGACTTCCTGCATACCAGGCAAGGTAGTTAACATCTCCTAGCCACCGTGATGATGAGAGAGAGACACGCAAACTCCGAATATACAGCAGGCGTCAGGGTCAGGATCGAACCCACGACTTCTTGCGTACCAGGCGAGGTAGTTAACATCTCCTAGCCACCGTGATGATGATGAGAGAGAGAGAGACACGCAAACTCCGAATATACAGCAGCAGGCGTCAGGGTCAGGATCGAACCCACGACTTCCTGCGTACCAGGCGAGGTAGTTAACATCTCCTAGCCACCGTGATGATGATGAGAGAGAGACACGCAAACTCCGAAGATACAGCAGCAGGCGTCAGGGTCAGGATCGAACCCACGACTTCCTGCTTACCAGGCGAGGTAGTTAACATCTCCTAGCCACCGTGATGATGATGATGAGAGAGAGACACGCAAACTCCGAATATACAGCAGCAGGCGTCAGGGTCAGGATCGAACCCACGACTTCCTGCGTACCAGGCAAGGTAGTTAACATCTCCTAGCCACCGTGGCAAACCCCGTGACCGCCCGACTCGGCCCGCATCACCACCGCCCCGTTAATCTGAATTAGACGTAATTGCAAGAATGACCTCAGTTTAGTTCAACCCTCATCACCTAATGGGGCGACGGCACACATTGGCTGTCGTTCGTCATCCGCTCGCTGTCGGGGACGTTCTAATTAACCGCGTAAGTGCCCTTCAGTGTTTCGGAACGTAAAACCGCGCCTAATTGTCAGCTGTGGGTATGTTGACTGAGAAGGTGGCACTCTCAATTTGTCCGCCCCCTTGACAAAGCGTTCCCTTCGGAATGTTCCGATACGGCACGCGACGCCCGCTCGTGTTTGGAGTTACGTTGGCGGACAGAGGGGGGCAGGGGGGGCATGGGGGGGAGCAGCACATGCGTGAGAGAACTTGCGCAGGTTGACACGGACGGAGTTCAAACCGTGACGAAAAGTCAAGAGGCAGTCAAGGAATGGAATGTGGCCGAAGGGGAGAGGGACGTCCGGCGGAGGAGATGGAGCAATTGAAATCAGCTCGCTGAGTTTAACAGGCTCTGGACGGCTTGCCACATCGCAGAATCGTGGGGAGGCCTTCATCCAGCAGTGGATTGAGCATGGCTGATGATGATGATGATGGTGGCGCGTCCCATTTAAAACATGCGGCATGTTTTTAGATTGAAAACTGATTTCTTTAGAGCTGGTTTGTGTGTTTGATTTGTTGTCTCTTACCCTGCATCTCCGCTCAGCACAGTTGGCTACGCACGGTGCGAAAGAAGTTCAACAAATATGTAAAAAAAAAAAGTTCAACAATTATGTAAAATATGTAATTTTTTTGGTTAAGAGATAATTAAAACAAAAGGCACCTATGTAAATAATTGTTTAACTTTTTTTTTTACAAATATGTAAATATTTGTTTTTACAAATATGTAAATATTTGTTGAAAATATTTGTTGAACTTATTTTTGACAGCAGACGATGCCTCCTCGCTCATCTGCTCCCCCCCCCCCCAGCGTCGTCCATCAAGGCAGCCACGCACAGCTGACGACTCACGCACCGGTGCCGGCTACGATGGGAACGAAAATGAATGCAAATTTTTTTTGGTTAAGAGATAATTCAAAACAAAAGGCACCGCGTGCAGTAAAGTTTTACACCGCAGTGATCATTTCTGAACAAACTCGGTTGCGTGATTTCTCCGCAGAGAGGGAGGGAGCGATACGGGGCTGTGGTTTCACGTTCGTTCACTGTTTGGGTCGGTATTCTTCACCCATTTTCAGAGGCGGGGGTGGGGGGGGGTCACTTTCGCCGATAAGGACATCATCAGTGTGAGGGCCGCCACACATTTGAAACCGCTGGGGTTTGGCAACACAATGATGATGATGATGGGGGGTGTTTTCTATTTTGTGTATCGTTGGGGGCCGCACATCAGAGGCCCGCAGTAAAGGCCACCAGGGGCCGCCAGGGCCTTGCGACGAAGAACGGTGCTTTAATGAATAAAACGCTCACGTAGCGCCCATTTGAAATTTTTTCACAACAGGAAGTCACCGCGGCACACACGTGGGAAATTCCCGACACCCGGCTCGGTTAACGCTGCAACGTCCGGCCAACGTTTGACAACCGAACCGGTCACCCTCTCCCTCACCACCGCTGCAGGCTGCGGTTGTCAAAACAGCTGTGAAAGGGGTCACTTGGGTGAGGTCAGAGGTCGGAGCCGCTGAGGCGGCACCGCTAAGACTCGGGGTTGGAATCCGGGCTTCAGTCACCCGTCCGTGATGTAAATACGTAGGCATCGGATCTCAAGCGCGACGAGTTGATGGTATCGGCTCGGTCCAGGCGATTACTGCGCAGCAACAACAACAAACACTTTAATTAAATGAAGTTCTTCCCATAGTTTGGCTACGTTTCTGCTCCGTGAGTAAAGAAAAAATCGGATTCCTTGTCATGCGACGAAAGTTACCCTCGCCGAGTGGAGAGGTCACTTGAAGGGGTTTCAGAGGGAGCTCTGCAGTGTCCACTTCCGCGGGCTGTTCTCTGGCACCGTGGGTTTTGCTGCTCTGTAACAAAAGCTGATGGATTTTTTTTCCCGGCCCATGACATAACGCGGATGGCGGGATCGTGATAAGAAATTTGAGAAAATATTTAAATGTAAATGTTTACATGTTACAAAAATAATTTTAACAGTTGAAAAAGTCAAATAAAGACACCTATTAATGCCGCTCCATTGGCTGGCGCAGTCAACAGAACGCCGAGATGTCAAGCTGCATTGGCATGTAAATAATTTCCTAACAAATTAGAATTTGTAACGAGCACAGGTTTTATTCCCTCCTAGAGCGAGAGAAAATCACGTGCTGGGTTACTCCAGTGACACCTTCACCCGCAGATTCCCACGCTGCCGTTACAGAAGCAGCAGCAGCAGAAGGAGAAAGTGGAACAGGTCATCGTCGCTGCCCTGGCAGAAGAAACGCAGGTGAGACGCCACCGCTCGCTGTCACCACCAAAGACAAGAACACGCATACCCTCCCCCCCCCCCCCCCCCCCCGTATGGCCCACACAGGCTGCTGTACACAGTACGCACACGCAGCACCTATGAAGGCCAGCACAGCACACGAGGGGTTGGGTGGCCGTCACCACACCCGGCCGCCTTTGTCTCCCCAGTGGTGATGTTTACACACCGCACCAGCTACTAAGTTGAGTCCCCGTCAAACCAGGGGAAGATTGCTTCAGATGTTGATGCCAGCCATGGCCGGGAATCTAACCCGGGGTCAGTTGAGGCTCCCTGTTAATCGACTCGACCGACCTGCCCTGGGGCAACGGTCGGCTTACTGGACCTGCGATCCGGAGGTGTCGCCCGGCTCGACTCGATCTCCCGGCGCCTGCTGGGTAAAACAAAGCAGGGGGGGCAAAGTTTCTTAAAATCCCCCCAGCAACGGAACTCTGTCCACCCAGCAGCAGCAGCACGAATGGGGTCACCGCCACTACCACCACCACCACAGTCAAATCAGTCGGCAGGTCACGTGTGGTGGGGGTCAAGTGCGGCTACGCCCACCGGCTGGCTGGCAGAATGCACCGCGTCGCCGTGGGAGAGTAGCACCAAATACAATCTGTAGAGCTCCGCTGTGGTGGGCAAGGGCCCCTTCCGTCAGCGGTGGCACGAGTGAGCAATTGCCCGGGGCTGCGCCTTTTTTCCTTTCATCGGATGGTGGGCCTGCCGACTTGGGTACAGGAGCGGGGCGCTGCACTAACCCCGGGTTATTTGCTCTGACTACTTTCGTGCAGATAAAGGCCGACCCGGGCGTCAGAAAAGTCTGCCACCCAAGCGCCGTTGATTTTGCATCGTTTGAACTCTCGCTGCTTGAGCCGTTTGGTAAGAGGACGTTGCGCGCACTGTCACGCTTCCGATTAGCACTGCTGGCTACACACGGCGCGAAAGAAGTTCAACACACGTACATAGCGGAATCGCATCCACGGCAGGTTTCAGAGTGGCAGAACGTAATAATTTAGTTTCATAATCAGCCATAATCAGCCATGATAAATCTACTGCTGGCCGGATGTCACAGTGGTGAGATGTTAACTACCTCGCCTGGTGTACAGGAGGTCGTGGGTTTGATCCCAACCCTGACGCCTGCTGCTGTATATTTGGAGTTTGCGTGTCTCTCTCTCTCCCCGTGGTTGCGTGGATTTTTCTCTGGGTCCTCCAGCCTTTCCCTCCGCATTTAGAAAAGTGCGTTTCGAGTATTTGGCTGCTATACATTTCCACGCGATGATAAGCTGTACATTTCCAAGTGGTAAAGCCACTTCGTTGAGCTATCATTCATGGCCAGTTCATGTAGCTCAGTGGGCCTTACTTGGCAAAATATAAAATAGTTGAGATTTTGGATGAAGGTTTCAGGATGTTGGCCATCACAGTGCAAAAGACAAATCACTGGGCCACTCCACCGCCACGTGGCCACCGTCGGGTCCAACCCAGATTTGAATTCCGCATTCCAGCTCCGACCGCGGCGGAGGGGCGGCCGCCCTCCTCGCGATCATCGTCATCTTCATCGTCAGCCATGATCTATCCACTGCTGCCTGAAGAAGGCCTCCTACAAGCCGCCGCCGCCGTGTGTCATGTAACGGTCCACCTACCCGCCTGCACACGGGCTGATTTCATTGCTCCATCTCCGTGGTGAACGTCCTATTTGGCGGATTTTCGAATTACTTCTCGTGTGAGCATTTAACACATCCATGTGTGTGAGCGTGTGTGTGTAGTGGGGAGCGGTAGTGTAGTGGTCAGCACGCTGCGCTATGAACCCAATGACCCGGGTTCAATTCCCGCTCACGGCCAACACCAGTGACGATTATCTGAACCGGTCCTGGGCCTCCCCTAGGTCGACTCAGCCTCAAATGAGTACCTGTTGTGGTGTACAAACATCACTACTGGGGAGACAAAGGCGGTCGGGCGTGGTGCTGGCCACCCACCCCCTCGTGTGCCAGGGCAGCCTTCCTTCATATGTGCTCGCAAACAGCACTTGCCCTAAAAGTCTGTTAAGGCTATACAGGAAATCTTTGATATGTTAGACGTGTGTGTGTGTGTTTGCTCGGCCGCGTGTTCACGATTGCGTGCGTTGGAGCCCCGCTATGTCACCGCGCATTTTGACACTTCTTTCTTCAGGCAAGGAGAAGGCTGAAGGGAGCCAACAGGCCAGGCCAACGTCCGCCATCTTGCAGGAGCCGCAGGTGCCTGGGGCCAACCATGGTGAGGCCTTGTCACCACATTTATCATCGGCCATGATCAATCCACTGCTGGATGAAGGACTCTTCAGGCCGTCGCCGTCTCTCACAGTCGCACGATATCACATTCAATCCGCCCAGCACCTGCGAACGAGCTGATTGTATCGCTCCATCTCCACGGCGGACACGCTCTTGAGAATGCTCCCTTCTTTGGCTGCCACTCTATCGCCAGTCTTCACCACTGGCAAATCATCCCTCCTTGCCATGTGTCCCAGCCCAAGTCCGCTTACTTTTCTAACGGCTCATATGTTGTCTAGTAGCGGTCAGTTTGATGCGTACGTCCTGCGAACCATTGTGTTCCTCTCTCTGTCTGTTGGTGTAGTTTCCAAGCATGCACCTCTCGTGTAAATTCCCTCCTTTGCCAACTAAAGATTTTTTAATTCATGACTGTGGGAAGCCACCCAGAGTGTCTGGAGAATGCGGAATCTTTGTCCATATCTCTGTCCATCCGATTGTTAAAATATGTGCTCGTTAAACATAGTGTTTTATTCCTAATATCTGCCTACAACATGGAGTCGTGATAACTTTTGGAAATACGACCCAATGTGAACCCAATTTTGGTGTGAAGTTGTCAGTTGCTATTCGGGACTCCCCCGAAAAGGAAACCGGCTGCGTTGAGAGAACGCGACCCCAAAACACCTTCGCGTCCGAAGGCCGTGACATCGTTACACGTGATGCCATCCCATCGTGCAGCTTCAAACGTGACGTCATTATCGCTCATTCAGCGACAAACGCACGTTGGAACGCGGCCGCATAATCCACGAGCGCGCGGAAATGTTTCTTCATTGTTTCGCCGGTTGTTGCCTTTATTTATTTACCGATCGTTTTCTCTCGGAAGCAGTCGATCGCTTCATTCGTCGCGTTAATCATTTCACCGAGCGTTTCGCTCGCTCGATTTGACCGGGTTAGCGGTGGCCTCCCCTCGCCCGCCCGCCAGGCGACGGCCCGGCCGCGGGCCTCGTTGCCGCCCCCGCCGCGGTGGCCGCGGGCGACGTGGCTCCCAAGGCGAAGACGACAACGACGACGATGACGAAGATGATGGTCGCCATGTCGGCTGCCGGCACCGGGGCCCGGCCGTGCCCCGAGGAGGTGCCACCCCCGAGGCTCGTGCCCCAACCACCACCACCACCGCCGCCACCACCACCACCTCTCACTCCCTCGCTCGGTGGGTGGGGGTGGGTGGGGGTGGGTGGGGGTGGATATAGGTGGGTATAGGTGGCTGTATATTGGGAGTGGGTGGGTATGGATTGATGTCAGTGACCGCAACGACGACGTGGCAGTGAAGCGGCGGAGTGATTTGCCTGTCGCGCTGTGACAGCCAACGCAAGGGGAAGCCCCCACGACGTTGAGGGCTTCAGGGCCAAGTTCTGCTACCCCTCCCGTGCGTGAGTCTGCGTGCGTGAGTCTGAGTGCGTGAGTCTGAGTGCGTGAGTCTGAGTGCGTGAGCCTGAGTGCGTGAGTCTGAGTGCGTGAGCCTGAGTGCGTGAGCCTGAGTGCGTGAGTCTGAGTGCGTGAGCCTGAGTGCGTGAGTCTGAGTGCGTGAGTCTGAGTGTGTGAGCCTGAGTGCGTGAGCCTGAGTGCGTGAGCCTGAGTGCGTGAGCCTGAGTGCGTGAGCCTGAGTGCGTGAGGCTGAGCGCGTGAGCCTGAGTGCGTGAGTCTGAGTGCGTGAGCCTGAGTGCGTGAGCCTGAGTGCGTGAGCCTGAGTGCGTGAGCCTGAGTGCGTGAGCCTGAGTGCGTGAGGCTGAGCGCGTGAGCCTGAGTGCGTGATGCTGCGTGCGTGAGTCTGAGTGCGTGAGTCTGAGTGCGTGAGTCTGAGTGCGTGAGTTTGAGTACGTGAGTGAGTGCGTGAGGCTCAGTGCATGAGCCTGAGTGCGTGAGCCTGAGTGCGTGAGTCTGAGTGCGTGAGCCTGAGTGCGTGAGTCTGAGTGCGTGAGCCTGAGGAGCGTGAGTCTGAGTGCGTGAGTCTGAGTGCGTGAGTCTGAGTGTGCGTGAGTCTGAGTGCGTGAGTCTGAGTGCGTGAGTCTGAGTGCGTGAGTCTGAGTGCGTGAGTCTGAGTGCGTGAGTCTGAGTGCGTGAGCCTGCGTGCGTGAGTCTGAGTGCGTGAGCCTGAGTGCGTGAACCTGAGTGCGTGAGTCTGAGTGCGTGAGCCTGAGTGCGTGAGCCTGAGTGCGTGAGTCTGAGTGCGTGAGTCTGAGTGCGTGAGCCTGAGTGCGTGAGCCCGAGTGCGTGAGTCTGAGTGCGTGAGACTGAGTGCGTGAGTCTGAGTGCGTGAGTCTGAGTGCGTGAGTCTGAGTGCGTGAGACTGAGTGCGTGAGTTTGAGTGCGTGAGTCTGAGTGCGTGAGTCTGAGTGCGTGAGCCTGAGTGCGTGAGCCTGAGTGCGTGAGCCTGAGTGCGTGAGCCTGAGTGCGTGAGCCTGAGTGCGTGAGCCTGAGTGCGTGAGTCTGAGTGCGTGAGTCTGAGTGCGTGAGTCTGAGTGCGTGAGTCTGAGTGCGTGAGTCTGAGTGCGTGAGCCTGAGTGCGTGAGCCTGAGTGCGTGAGTCTGAGTGCGTGAGTCTGAGTGCGTGAGTCTGAGTGCGTGAGTCTGAGTGCGTGAGCCTGAGTGCGTGAGCCTGAGTGCGTGAGCCTGAGTGCGTGAACCTGAGTGCGTGAACCTGAGTGCGTGAGTCTGAGTGCGTGAGACTGAGTGCGTGAGCCTGAGTGCGTGAGTCTGAGTGCGTGAGACTGAGTGCGTGAGTCTGAGTGCGTGAACCTGAGTGCGTGAATCTGAGTGTGTGAGTCTGAGTGCGTGAGCCTGAGTGCGTGAGTCTGAGTGTGTGAGACTGAGTGCGTGAGCCTGAGTGCGTGAGTCTGAGTGTGTGAGACTGAGTGCGTGAGCCTGAGTGCGTGAGTCTGAGTGCGTGAGACTGAGTGCGTGAGTCTGAGTGCGTGAGCCTGAGTGCGTGAGTCTGAGTGTGTGAGCCTGAGTGCGTGAGTCTGAGTGCGTGAGTCTGAGTGTGTGAGACTGAGTGCGTGAGCCTGAGTGCGTGAGTCTGAGTGCGTGAGCCTGAGTGCGTGAGTCTGAGTGCGTGAGCCTGAGTGCGTGAGTCTGAGTGTGTGAGTCTGAGTGCGTGAACCTGAGTGCGTGAGTCTGAGTGTGTGAGACTGAGTGCGTGAGCCTGAGTGCGTGAGTCTGAGTGCGTGAGACTGAGTGCGTGAGTCTGAGTGCGTGAGACTGAGTGCGTGAGTCTGAGTGCGTGAGCCTGAGTGCGTGAGCCTGAGTGCGTGAGACTGAGTGCGTGAGTCTGAGTGCGTGAGTCTGAGTGCGTGAACCTGAGTGCGTGAGTCTGAGTGCGTGAGACTGAGTGCGTGAGACTGAGTGCGTGAGTCTGAGTGCGTGAGTCTGAGTGCGTGAACCTGAGTGCGTGAGTCTGAGTGCGTGAACCTGAGTGCGTGAACCTGAGTGCGTGAGCCTGAGTGCGTGAGCCTGAGTGCGTGAACCTGAGTGCGTGAACCTGAGTGCGTGAGCCTGAGTGCGTGAGTCCGAGTGCGTGAACCTGAGTGCGTGAGCCCGAGTGCGTGAACCCGAGTGCGTGAACCTGAGTGCGTGAGACTGAGTGCGTGAGTCTGAGTGCGTGAGTCTGAGTGCGTGAGTCTGAGTGCGTGAGTCTGAGTGCGTGTCGAGTGCGTGAGTCCGAGTGCGTGAGTCCGAGTGCGTGAGTCTGAGTGCGTGAGTCTGAGTGCGTGAGCCTGAGTGCGTGAGCCTGAGTGCGTGAGTCTGAGTGCGTGAGTCTGAGTGCGTGAGTCCGAGTGCGTGAGCCTGAGTGCGTGAGTCTGAGTGCGTGAGTCTGAGTGCGTGAGACTGAGTGCGTGAGACTGAGTGCGTGAGTCCGAGTGCGTGAGCCTGAGTGCGTGAGTCTGAGTGCGTGAGACTGAGTGCGTGAGACTGAGTGCGTGAGTCTGAGTGCGTGAGACTGAGTGCGTGAGACTGAGTGCGTGAGACTGAGTGCGTGAGTCCGAGTGCGTGAGTCCGAGTGCGTGAGTCTGAGTGCGTGAGTCTGAGTGCGTGAGACTGAGTGCGTGAGTCTGAGTGCGTGAGTCTGAGTGCGTGAGTCTGAGTGCGTGAGCCTGCGTGCGTGAGTCTGAGTGCGTGAGTCTGAGTGCGTGAGTCTGAGTGCGTGAGTCTGAGTGCGTGAGTCTGAGTGCGTGAGTCTGAGTGCGTGAGCCTGCGTGCGTGAACCTGAGTGCGTGAGTCTGAGTGCGTGAGTCTGAGTGCGTGAGTCTGAGTGCGTGAGACTGAGTGCGTGAGTCTGAGTGCGTGAGTCTGAGTGCGTGAGTCTGAGTGCGTGAGTCTGAGTGCGTGAGACTGAGTGCGTGAGACTGAGTGCGTGAGTCTGAGTGCGTGAGCCTGCGTGCGTGAACCTGAGTGCGTGAGTCTGAGTGCGTGAGTCTGAGTGCGTGAGTCTGAGTGCGTGAGACTGAGTGCGTGAGTCTGAGTGCGTGAGTCTGAGTGCGTGAGTCTGAGTGCGTGAGTCTGAGTGCGTGAGTCTGAGTGCGTGAGCCTGCGTGCGTGAACCTGAGTGCGTGAGTCTGAGTGCGTGAGCCTGAGTGCGTGAGCCTGAGTGCGTGAGCCTGAGTGCGTGAGTCTGAGTGCGTGAGTCTGAGTGCGTGAGCCTGAGTGCGTGAGTCTGAGTGCGTGAGCCTGCGTGCGTGAGTCTGAGTGCGTGAGTCTGAGTGCGTGAGTCTGAGTGCGTGAGTCTGAGTGCGTGAGTCTGAGTGCGTGAGTCTGAGTGCGTGAGCCTGCGTGCGTGAACCTGAGTGCGTGAGTCTGAGTGCGTGAGTCTGAGTGCGTGAGTCTGAGTGCGTGAGCCTGAGTGCGTGAGTCTGAGTGCGTGAGCCTGAGTGCTTGAGTCTGAGCGCGTGAGTCTGAGTGCGTGAGGCTGCGTGCGTGAGCCTGAGTGTGTGAGTCTGAGCGCGTGAGTCTGAGTGCGTGAGTCTGAGTGCGTGAGTCCGAGTGCGTGAGTCTGAGCGCGTGAGTCTGAGTGCGTGAGGCTGCGTGCGTGAGCCTGAGTGTGTGAGTCTGAGTGTGTGAGTCTGAGTGCGTGAGTCTGAGTGCGTGAGCCTGAGTGCGTGAGTCTGAGTGCGTGAGCCTGAGTGCGTGAGCCTGAGTGCGTGAGTCTGAGTGCGTGAGCCTGAATGCGTGAGTCTGAGTGCGTGAGTCTGAGCGCGTGAGTCTGAGTGCGTGAGGCTGCGTGCGTGAGCCTGAGTGCGTGAGTCTGAGCGCGTGAGCCCGAGTGCGTGAGCCCGAGTGCGTGAGCCTGAGTGCTTGAGTCTGAGCGCGTGAGCCCGAGTGCGTGAGCCTGAGTGCGTGAGTCCGAGTGCGTGAGCCTGCGTGCATGAGGCTGCGTGCGTGAGCCTGAGTGCGTGAGCATTCGTGCCCGGCCGCTGAATCGCTGCCCCTTGCTGCTCTCTGACAGCTCATTCTGCCTGCTCCACTGCCTTGAAACCCCTGACCTCTGAGTTTGGGTGGATGGGTGGGTATGGGTGTGGGTGGGTATGGGTGGGTGGGTATGGGTGAGTATGTTTGGGTGGGTGGGTGGATGGGTATGAGTGTGAGAGGTGTAACACTAAATTCCCGTACAGATAAACGTATTGATCAACGTGCCGTGCCCTGGCCATAAGCCAAGGGTGGAGAGGGATCACCAACCCTCGCCTCCAAAGTGCGGGGGTTGGTGGACCACACGAATCTGCGGCTCACCACCCACGGAGCATCGCAGTTGCCACCTCCTGGCAGCACAGCAAGCGGATTCACTCCAGCTTGATTGGGAGCTTTCGTGACTGCAGGAATTGCTCTCTGGTTCTTTCGGTAAAGTCAAGTGGGAAGAGAAAATAATAAATTAAATAATAGCACAGGACGTTTCGATTGCAACACAAGCAATAATCTCTGTGTTGTATCGCGTTATATTTGACTAGGTTTGTTTTCTCTTTCATTTGTACCTGATGACGATTGCTTGTGTTCCAATCGAAACGTCGTGTGCAATTATTTAATTTATTATTTCTTTCTACGTGACTTTATCGAAAGAACCAAAGTGTACTCCACCTGTGCGAGCATTGGCGATTACCCCCCACTCCCTCGCGCACTTGGGTGTCCTCCGTGTACTCGGGTTTCCACCCACATAATATAGGACCGCAAAGCTTGGGCAATTGTTAGCCCCGGTTCTAGCCGCCTTCCCGCTTGTCTGTGGTTTCCCGCGCCTCGTAATCGTTTCAAATTTTCCCGCAATTGCGCTGTTTTCCTCGTGTTTTCACGGCGCGATCGCCACGATCGGGACAACGTTGAATGCAATTGGCGAGGAAGACCAACAGACGAACATCGCGGTCATAAAATAAGAAGCCAATACGTACAATTAAGAAACCCCGTGACGGTGCGACCCCCGCGTCTGCCCGGGCAGGGTCGCCATCGCAGCTGAGCGCCAACGAGGTGGAAGACGACGAGATCGACCGGGAGCTGCGCGAGTTCCTCCAGTCCCCGGGCTCCGACAGCGCCGCGTCGTAGCGGCACCACGCGGGCGGGTGGGCGGGCGGGCGCCGGCGTTGTGATGTCGTCCCCCTCCCACCCTTCCCCCCCAACTCTGCTGCCCGTTCGTAAGGACACGCGACGTCAATGAGGTCACGGGCCGGAGGACGTTGGGTAGAATCGTAGCGAGCGCCCATTAGCGATGGCTGTGTCGAGCGACGCTGATTGGATTGCACTGGGCGATGCTGATTGGATCGTAACGAGCGACGCTGATTGGATCGTAACGGGCGACGCTGATTGGATCATAGCGAGCGACGCTGATTGGATCGTAGCGGGCGATGCTGATAGGATCGTAATGGGCGACGCTGATTGGATCATAGCGAGCGACGCTGATTGGATCGTAGCGGGCGATGCTGATTGGATCGTAACGGGCGACGCTGATTGGATCATAGCGAGCGACGCTGATTGGATCGTAACGGTCGACGCTGATTGGATCATAGCGAGCGACGCTGATTGGATAGCAGCGAGCGACGCTGATTGGATCGTAGCGGGCGACGCTGATTGGATCATAACGGGCGACGCTGATTGGATCGTAGCGAGCAACGCTGATTGGATCGTAGCGGGCGACACTGATTGGATCGTAGTGGGCGACGCTGATTGGATCGTAACGGGCGACACTGATTGGATCGTAGTGCTGAGCATTAACGGGATCCTTGCACGCGACGCTGATGAGAGGCACTTTCCGTGGCGTCTCAACCAGGCCTGTCCGGCTCAGCGACCCAGCATGCCACGTCCAGTATCCCTCTTGCTCTGGCTGGGGCTACTCTTCTGCATTCTACCAGCGAGCCGTGAAATATTTCAACACCCGGCACACTGCATCCAGTATACCATCGACCTGAAAGACATCCAGCGAGAAATGTAATTCCCGGCATCGCTTACGACGAGCGAGGGCTGAAGGCTCCGTCTGGGAAATGGAACGCGTCGTGGGACGTGCGGCTGACTCCACTGGTGGCTTAGGGACAACGTGACGGTGGGATGGGGGGGGGGGGTTGGGGGGGGACAGTACAGCAAGAAGGTTGTCAACTTCTTCGAATCGCAGGAGTTTGAGTGGTTCACCTCGTTGCGTGTGTGGGGGTTTTTTTTCCGGGAACTCTGGTTTCTGCCCACGTGCAGCAAAAAAGACAAAGCTGTACATATCTACCGATTAATTTCTTTATTTTTATCTCAGCATCAGCAAAGAGCCAGACCCTCCTCTGAATGGGTCTTGAGACTCGGCGAGGCTTCCCTGGGTGAATGGCAAATTCTTCTTCTTCTTGTTCCTGCTGTGAAGCTTGAGAGTGCACGAGGAAGCGTGGAGGGATGCACGTGTCGACTCGGGCTGGGATGACAGGAAGAGGAGCACTCGGATTAGAAGAACGTAACACACAGCAAAACGCTGCAACATCGACTGTTCAGTAAAGTTGGCGCGGCTTGGGCAGGACGCGCCGCTGGACGGGGAAGACGACGGCCGGCGGTGGAGACGAACGGCAGGAGTGGCAGCCGAAGGAGTGCGCACGCACGCGCCCGAGAGCGCATCCACCGCGGAGACGGAGCAGTGAAATCCTCCCGTGTCCAGTCGCTAGGTGGATTGCAACGCCGCGAGATCGTGAGAGGTGGTGGCGGTGGTGGTGGCGGGGGTGGGGCTTGCGAGGAACCTTCAGCGGGGGATCGATCGTGGCCGACGATGGCGGTGACGACAACGACGATCGCGAGGAGGGTGCCTGGCCCTTCCCCCATGGTGGGAGCCGGAAGGCGGAACGCAGATCCGGGGTTGAACTCGACGACCACGTGGCAGTGAAGCGGCCGAGTGATTTGCCTGTCGCGCTGTGACAGCCAACGCAGGGAGAAGCCCCCACGATGTTGAGGGCTTCAGGGCCAAGTTTCGCTACCCCTCCCGTGCGCGCGTGCGTGAGCCTGAGCGCCGTGAGCCTGTGTGCGTGCATTCGTGCCTGGCCGCTGAAAATTGCTGCCCCTTGCTGCTCTCTGACAGCTCATTCTGCCTCTGTCTTCACTGCCCTGAAACCCCTGACCTTTGATGTTTGACGTTCAGCATCTGACACGCGCGCACCGTCCACGCCAGGAGCGTGGAACATCGCAGGACCGTGACCATGGCCGCCCCCCCCACAGGTTCCTGGGGGCCCGGGGCAGGATGCCACGTGGGGCGGCCCTAATTCCACAATCCGCAAGCTCACCGTGGGGCCCTCTTTCGCGCGAAGCCTGCGGAAAAAAATCCCCCCTTTTACCCCCCATAACCCCCCCCTTGTCAGCGGAAACGCTGAGCGCTGTTGGAGGAATGACCCTTTTGCACTTGGTCGTGGGAAACCGAAAGTATTCATTTGTTCCTGTAAGTCTGTTGCAGAATAGATTTGAACAAAAAGTCCCCGCCGAAGCACAGAACACAACAAAGTATCGCGCGACGCGGTGCGGACCGATGCGGCGTGCACACCCCACCGCAGCCTCGAGCGTGCTGACATCTTTCTCGAACCACAAACATTTCGCGGACCACCACCACTACCACATGCTACGACTAGTTATTTGAAATTGTACATTTTATTGGTGAGGGTTGTGATTATTTTTCTTTTACGCAGACCTCCTACCCCCCTCCATGTAACAGCCTCGCGAGGCACCAGGAGTCTGCGGCCCACTGGTTGGGAACCGCTGCTCTAGAGTGGCGGTTCTCAGCAGCGGTTGTCAGCGTGAGGTCCCCGCTAGCGCCGCCGGTCCATGACGATGCTCCGGGCGGCCCGCGTGGCTGTGATGCATATTCAGGTTGGCCTGATCAATAACGACAGCGTTTATAGCTTTTATTCCAGACATTTATATTTTTGACTCGTAATATTTTATTTAAAATGTAGGTCAGGTAAACTACCCCAACTCTGAGATCTAAATGCCCCCCCCCCCCCAAAAAAAAAAACCTTACGGCTTCGTAAAAAAAAAATGCTCCGGTAATTCGATTTTTTAAATATATTTCTGGAATTTCGAGAGAAGTGAAGGCGTTTTATTACTAGGGGTGGTGGGGGGGGGGGCTGGGCTGGTTGGTCCGTGGAAATGTTCACATCGGCTCAGCGGTCCACGGGCCAGCAAAATTTGCGAAACACCGCTCTGGAACGGAACAGCCGGCGTGTTCGCTGCAGCCGGCGTGTTCGCCACGGCGCGGGCATTTGCCAGCGCGCGCTGGTCGGGGTTCGTGCCGCGCGTCGTTCCGCGCGACGTCCGACGTTTCGGCCACCCCGCGTTGCCGGGAGCTTCTCCGGCGTCGCTGTCCTTAAGAAGTTCCCGGCGGCACGGGGCGAGACCGTCGAACGTCGCGCCCCAACGAACGGTGAGCGGCGGCGCAACCCCAGCAACAAGAACAAGAACTCATACTCTTAGGTTTTTTCGGTAAAGTCACGTAGGTAAAAAATTTAAATTAATAAAAGTAAAATAAAATAAAAATTACGACGTTTTGGAGGCAACACAAGCTTCCGTCTTCAGGTGGAACCGTCACAGCACGATTGCTGTATCAAGTAAAGAGAAATTCTAAGAGACCCGACCTTGTATATATACTAGAATTTATCTTTACTTGATACAGCAATCGTGCTGTGACGGTTCCGAAACGTCGTGATATTTATTTTATTTGTATTTTACTTTTATGAATTTTTATTATTTTTTTACCTACGTGACTTTACCGAAAAAACCTAAGAGTATGAATCCTTGCAGTCACGAAAGCTTCAAATCTAGAAAGAACAAGAATGGCAATGTTGGGCAGCTCGTGGAGGAGAGACGTTCGTTTTATATGAGGGGGGGAGGAGGAAAAATAGACGGTGAGGTTAAAGTTTCGATTTAAAGCTTTCGTGACTGCAGGGATTCATCTTCTTGGTTCTTTCGGTAAAGTCACGTAGAAGAGAAATAATAAAATAATAAAAAGAAAACATAATAAAATTATTCTGGCCGAAACGTCGTGAGAATTATTTTATTATGTTTTATATTTTATTATTTCCCTTCTACGTGACTTACCGACAGAACCAAGAAGAGGTTAAAGTTGCCGAGGAAGTGAAACTAAGATGAGCGCCTTCACGTGATGCCACGTGTCCATTCACGCTGAGAGTGCCGTACTTTCGTGTTTTGAATGTTTACATGAAGGGGGTGGTGGGGGGTGGGTGTACGCGACGAGATGAAGCCGCGGGTTTAATGCATCCCTCACTTTTTTTACGTGAATTTTACCCCTAAAAACCGTGCTACCCCCACTCTTAATTCTCGCTTTCTTCGGTGCCGCCACCAAACTCTGCTGCCTTTTTTCCCCACGTCGTCGTGAAAATATACGGAGACGTTCTGCGTATATTGCATCGCGGTCGTCCTGTGGATAGACTCGTCCCCGCCATAGGAATGAGGAATGACCTAACACCGCTGGCTCAGGACCTCCGATGGAAAGTAAGCACCGCCCAACGTTCACTTGCGTATGGAAACACTGAAACTCGTTAAAAACAATTACGTGAACTTTTGATTCAAAGCTTTCGTGACTGCAGGGATTCATATTCTTGGTTCTTTCGGTAAAGTCACGTAGAAGGGAAATAAAATCATACAAATATAAAAACAGGTGATGATGATCATCAGCTGATGATGATTGCTTGTGTTGCAGTCGAAACGTCGTGAGAATTTTAATTGTTTTATATTTATATGATTTTATTATTTCCCTTCTACGTGACTTTACCGAAAGAACCAAGAATACAATTACGCGAACGTATAAATATATATGCACAAGCTTACGCACTGGGAATGCGTCCGTAGCCTGGTGGTTGGTGCACGTTGGGCTTGTGATCCACAAGTCGCCGGTTCGGAAATGGGGCGCGTTTCTCAAATCCACCGCCGCCACTTCTGCCGACCCCGCGGTGCGAATGGATTCAATGCAAGCCAGTTGATCGCCAGGTCTCAGAGGTCGCAACCGAGTACCCGATACCCGTACCCTACCCGATACCCGGCTACCCGTACCCGGCTGGGTACGGGTACGGGTAGCCGTTTGCGACCCTGGTGCGGCC